TACCTCATCTTCTTGTGCAGGGCTATGTACAATCCCAAGCTCTAACAGCCAAAGACAACAACAAAACAAACCAGGGACCTTGATCTCACTGAAAGAAAATTGCTGTACACTGGGGACACTCAGCTGATGCAGCAGTTTCCAGAAGTGGGGTATTCTCAGCATACTCCAGTACTATTTCTGTACTAAAGAGTTTTGTATTTCAGAATGTATTACATATGCACACGCATATATACACATGGTCATTAAATCATGGCAACAATTTTCCTTGTGTGTTGTTGCTGCTATCCTTTTAATCCTCTAGCAAAAACCTGACATGAAAATATATTCTGATATTTCTGACGTAAAAATAATATAGTTAACCTTTAAAGTACAACTTGGAGTTATTTCTAAGAACTTTTATGTGACAAGAGAGGGTAAACTTGTAATTATGCTGATTCTTTATTTGTAGTTTTCTGTTGTTTACTTGTTTGATGATCTTTTACCATAGAAAGTGTTTATTTTATTCAACTACATGCACTGTGGAAAAGTTAGATTCGTATAAGTCAGAGCACTCAAAGATAAGAATATAATTGCTGAAAAGTAAAAGGCAAGGAACACCAGCAGCTCTAGATCTTCTATGTTTGGATAAATTTAAATTTGATCATTTTAGATAACAAGCATGCCAGACCAAGTTTTACTTCTGCAAAAGTGACTGGAAGGGAACAAAGGATCAAATTTTATACTTTCTGGGAAGAGTAGTGATTCTGTAGAAAAGGCCTGCTCTTTGAGGGCCAGAAGAGTAACCCCCTGACCTCACTTTTCTATAAGAATTTCATAAGATGCCTAGGCCTGTCTTTTTAAGGCAACATACCAGAAGTTGTAAGTGTTCAGCAACTCTGAAAATTAACTATATTTTAGATGTAGTTGTCTAATTTTATTCATAAATGTGGTTAAGCTTTCATGATCCTTTCATGTGTATTTGTGTCTATAAAATGGAACTGGTAATATAGTAGAAAAATAGATTAATTTTAAAACTTCTTGAATCTCATACAGAATGGAATCAAAGAAATGTTAATAAAGTCTCCCAATAAAATTTTCCATGAAAAGTGTAGATTTTGCCTAAGAAAAGATCATAGATAACAGAAAGCTGTTTAGCTCACTGCCATGCAGTTTATATATGCACTTTAAATGTATCCTAAAAAATTGGGTTATTTATTTTTGTAGTTTAGGTACAGCTAGGTTTTCATAGATTTTGTGTATTTCAGACAAGGATGATAATGACATGTTATAATCATTCCTCCTTCAGAAAGGAACAACAGGTTATCAGAAAGCCAGTACTTTCCACATACTTGGCTACATTCCCTGTTAATATTTTCAGTCTGCAGTTTATTGTGCTGTTTAGTGGATACATTTGATGTATGACTATTTCTAAAAATAAATTTTTATAGAAACTCTTGTAGTTTTTTCTCTGCTCAAATGTATTGAGATGTATCTTAAATGTTTGTATCTATTCTATGTATATTTAAAAAAGAAAAGTTTTCTTTGTGTTTTTTGAATCATAAACTTTTCTTTGTTTGTCAGAAAGTCTTACACAGTTGAATCTTTCTGGAACAATGAGCTTTCAGTGTGTAGGAGTGAAACAATTCGTATTCCAAAAAGATGCAGCTTGGTCTTGCTGCCAGTACATTTTGTATAGTGCTTGAATGGCCCTATTGTCCTCCTGTGCACTCAAAATGAATGAATTTATCTTTCGAAGTGGAGCGGTTCTTTCTTCCCTATACCAATTCCCACTTCTGTGTCTGAAGGAGAGAACAAGACTGCGCTCTTGAAAGCATATAATTCTGAACTGTGAAAATTAGATTCCAGTGTACCTGTCACTCACCAAGCCTGGTTTAAGCCAAGTGGACAGTTACCAAAAAAGTTTGTTTGGACCATTGCAGAAATCACTTCACTTTAACGTACAGATGAAATTGGTTAATTTTCCACCTCCTTCAGTGCTGAAAATCAAATTCCTCACTTCTAATTTCTTAACCTTTCCCACTTCCTCATGCTGCAATTCAGTTCTTACACAGTTGCTGAATTTAAAACGTGGGAATAGTTATTTTCAATTGGATTGTTGGCTTACTTGGGAGGGTTTTTGAGGGGTTTTTGGGAGGGTTGATGTGCCTCCTTAGAGATTTTGGACTCAGTGCATTTAATTTGTGTGCTTGCTATGTTTTGCGTACTTGGGTTCAAGTATAACAGACTTTGCTGTCTCAGTAGTGGCAGTAATTACAGTGAATGTGTGTGTGAGTTTTGATGTCTGCGGAGTGCTTCCTCTTTGCTCAAAGGGTGCTGCTGGGTGCAGCTGTCTGAGTGAAGGTAACAAGTGGGCTGCCCAACTGCCAGAAGGCCTGGGATGACGCTGGCAGCTGGGGTATTGAGCAGAATATGTTGCTCCTGCTCCTTTGACATCCCCACAATTGCAGTTTTGCATAGGATATTGAAAAGAGCTTGAAATAGAATGGACTGAAGGAAACACAAGATAGAGATTTGCAAGATGGAATAGTAAGGAGTAGGTAGATAAGTAAAGTTACTTACTTTCTGCAATAGCAAAATTCATTTCCTCGAAAGGAAATACTTTTTGCATGATTAACAATTAAGAAATTTATGAAGTATGCTGTGGAGGCCTTAAAGCATGTATTTGTTTAGATTCTTTGCGGATGTGGCTGTCAATGTCTATTAAGTGTGATTGCTTGACTGTAGCTAATTTTTCATGGACTTTCTGAGCTGGAATTCCCTAGATTGCTGGAATCTTATTTGGGAAGATGTGAGTGTACCTTCTCTTATTTACATTCTTTTTATGACCATTGCCAGCAGCAAATGCTTAAAGGGATGCTCTGTTCTAGGTGAACTTTTGATCTGGCTAAATATGGTAGTTCGTATTTTAGTCATCTTTTCTTTGTTACTCTTTTCTGTCTTCAGTGAACTGATCTGGACATAAGAGTATATTAAGCTACTATAAATTATGTTTCCTGGCAGTCATTCAGCACATATTAAATAAAGAATGTGTTGTGATGTTATTAATGTACAAGTGTAGTCTCATTACCTGGACTTTTTAAGGCCAGTTATAGATGTAATTGAAACCTGCATCCAATTTACATCTCAAAAGCACAAACCACTTAATTCTAGGAAGCTGAAGGGTTGTTTTTTTATTCATTCTGTGTTGTTTGGTTGATTAAAGACGCTAGTATACTTTTCTATTCTCCATCCTTTTTTTTTTTCTTAACCTTATTTTATGTTTTTGTTTTTCTTGCTGGTCTTGTCCGCTGTTGCTCTAAATGCCCAGCCCTTTCCCATAGAACCAGTCTTTGAGGATAAATTAGAGACTCTGTAGGCTTCACAAAGCTCTCTGGTCTCTTGTTCTCTTCTAAAGCAGATATGTCAGCATCAAAACCATTGTCTTAAAGAAAAACTGCATGAGAGAGGGATGGAAGATTAGGGAGAAGAATAAAAAATGCTGCAGGATATGAGAGTAAAGGAAAAGCAGAAATATCTAAGAAATGATTATGTGAAGAGTGGCTAATCTTGAGTACTTATTGAAAAGTTATTCATTTTTATAATTTTTTACACTAAAATGCATGAACTCTTATTTGTGTCTTCTGTTAGATTTAGTCTTACCAGTCATAGCTAAAAATGATATTTTTTATTTGCTCATCCTTGGAATAGTTGACGAAGTGAAAAGAGTTTTTTGAAGTGTCCTCTTTATGTGAGCTTTAGTACTGCTATAAAATTTGAAAATCTCATGAAAAGAAAATTGCTGGTGACGCCAGCTTAGGTAAATTTTTACTAGAAAAACAGCTTCTTCACAAGCAGGTATCTCTGCTGAAGCTATTCCCCTCCAGTACTTTGGCATTTTTTTTTTTTTCAGATCACAGTCAGCTACATGTTATGTGAGAAGTAACAAGGTGAGCATGTTGCAGATGGTAAGGGGTTGAGTGAGATAGTTTCTGGTTTTGTTTCTGATGCAGTTAATGTATCCAAGAATTATGCTAATATTCCTAGAAACCACAGAATTGTTGAGTTTGGAGGGGGAATTCTGGAAGTCCATTCCCACCCTGTTCCCTGAACAGGTCCACTTCAGTCCTTTGAGGTTGACCAGAATCCAAGTCCTGGTTCCTCCTCAAGATCTCCAAATGGGGACCTCTCAATGTCTCTGGCAGCCCATGCCAGTGCGTAGCCACTGACGCAGTACAGAAGTGCTACCCGATGGTCAAAAGGAAACTCCTGTGTGTACCCATTGCCTCTTGTGAATTATATGTTAGATAACTGCCACTGATGACCATGCAAATTAGTTTCAGAAAAAAATACCAGTGATTTCCAAAGTAGATCAGAAATATGTAAATATAGTTCAAAAATGTGTCCATTTAAAAGAGGCTGTGATTTCCTGACTGTTTATTCAAGATTGATTTTTAAGGATGTTGCTTCACAGTGGAAAAAGAAATTGGTTTAAGCTAAACATGCTTAGTATTTCTAAGAATTAGACCACTAGAAAATCCTAGTCCATTTGAGTGTTTGTATAGAACTTTTTTCAAAGACATGCTTGAGATGCTTAGTTCATATAATAAGATTTAAGAGAAAGTTGTAATTGTTTTTCTTAAAATCAGTCTATTTAAAAGTAGTCAAAACTGCTGTTAGTGAAAAGGAAACAGTTTTATAAAAATTATCTCACCACTAAAGTATGATATAAGGTAGATTCTTCCATTTCCATCAGCAATTTCATGTAGTCATTTAACTTTTTTTTTTTTATTAATAGTTACAGTGTGTTTCTATCAATCAAACAATATCATTTTGGCAACTACAAGGATAATATTTGAACATAATTTTATATAGATTTATTTAATGAATTGGGAGGAAGCCTGCATGTTGTGGCCAAAATTTGTATGACTTTTCTTAGATGTTTGGACCGTGCTGATTTAATTTTTCTGTACATGTTTGTTATTGGATAATAACCAATCAAACTTTTATTACCTTTTCCGTAGGACTTTAAGACAGGATTTGGTATCACCTTAATCCCTATGAATGTGGCAAATGTAAAACAAGTGGATCGGGCTGCAAAACAAACTTTTGAAATAATTACTCCTTACAAAAGCTTCAGGTAAGATCTTCAATATTGATAATAGTAATATTTTAATGTTAAGTTATATAACTAATGTTATTAATATTGTTAAAGTACAAAATATACAAATAAGTAATATGCTGAAAAATATTGCTTCATATGGTACTAACATAACCCGGTTTAGTGAAAAGATAACATTTTTTAAAGAATGCTCACTTTTTTCTTTCCACCAAATAATGGAAGAATTTTCTTTCCACTTTTTAACTTTGTTCTTCATCTGTTATCTCCCTAACTACACATCCAATGTCCACAAATGCATCTTCTTCATTTTATGCAAAAGCAGAAGAAAATAAAAACTCTGAAAACTTTCCTTCATCTTTATGATAAACTACAGTAGTGAAATCCTCCTGCATTCATTTAATATTAAGGATTTTATTTTTTAATGGAAAGAATTAAGTATGTGCTACCCCTTGTAAAAATCTTCCATTGAAATCAGTACAAAACTTTCCTTTTGCTGATGCTGTAACTTGTAATGAATTTTTTTAAGAAAAATAAAAGTGTATGCTAACTTTTTTTCTTAAATGTGTAGTTTTTCTTTAGTAATGCAGTAGTAGAAGAAATTGCTTTATTCTCTGTGTATATGTTCTCTAGTGTTAATCTTGAGAAAGGTCGCTGAAATGCAAGCAATGTTATTTGATTCTCAGTGGCCTAGAGAACAAGTAAATTAGTCTTGATCAATGATTTGAGTCTGTGGCTAGTTGGTAGATAAGTAGATCTTTGATTTTCTCTAAGCCATCACCATATCTACTATTATTTCTGTTTTACAAAAGGATCAATTTAAAAGGAAGGTAATTTTTGTCTGTTAGGTAACATCTGCTTTTACTCTTTAGTAACTTTTGTTAATAAAGTTTATTGAGGTGTTTCTAAGCTTTTTTGAAAAAATCAGACTGTTTGGTATGTGTTGACCTTTTTTTTTAAAAAAAAAACATATTGAAAGTAACTCAGGAACATAACAAGTGTTATAAAAGCTGTGTAGCTCATGCTAGCAGTGCTTTTATTGATAACAAAACAAAGACTGAGGGAATTTTCACTGGTGAAAACGAAAAATAATTTTTATTTATATGTGTGTAGTGGACTATTTTTTGACAGAGATTTCAGATATAAATGTAATAAATAAGAAACTACAGATTCTGTTTAATTGGGCTTTAAAATAAAGATCAATAATGCAGAAAAGTCAATTGTTTCAGCTTTACAGCAGAATCGGAAAAAGAGAAACAAGACTGGATTGAAGCACTGCAGGAATCGATAGCAGAAACTCTGTCTGATTATGAAGTAGCTGAGAAGATTTGGTTCAATGAATCCAACAGGAGCTGTGCTGACTGTAAAGCTCCCAATCCTGATTGGGCATCCATCAATCTCTGTGTTGTCATTTGTAAGAAGTGTGCAGGTAGAGTAATTAATGAGAGGCTGTGTGGGTTTTACAAAATGTCATATTTGCATATCTGTTTATGTCCTTGAATTGGCTTTTTTATTTTTGAAGTGGCATTCCGTTGGAAGTTTTAATACCAAGTATATCCTTATTCTAAAACACTTTCATGTGTAAATGACAGTCTGGATGATTATTGGTTTCCCACAGATGAATAATCTTCCACAATTAATGGAAATCAAGACACACTAGCACTTCTTGGGAAATTATTTGTTTTAGCATTGATGCATTCCAAAAGATAACAATTTGCAGTGTATAAATTTGGAGTATTTATTACATCAGATCATATTTTCACTGCCAATAGATAGCATTTTCAGATACTACGTAAAATCTTTTTCTGTCATGTTTTAAATTTAAGTATGTGCGTAAGCTTTAGAGGCAGTGAAGTGCTTTATAACTCCAAAACAAACTTTTCCAAAATATTCTATGTGGAAGAGCCTTTGTTTATTAGTTATTATCAAATATACAAAATTTGTATTTCAAAATTATAACCTGAAGAGGACTATTTCTGTGCCACGTGCAATCCATATCCTCTCTTTTTCCCTCTCACCCCCTTCTTTTCCTTTTTCTGTGTGCTTTTGTGCTTTTCTATCTCAAAATATATCTTGTTAAAAAATGATAAATAGATCTGCTTTCATTAAATATATAATTTTTTTAGCTCAGAAGAAGAGTTAACTCAATTTAAGTGCTTTAGTTAAGTAAAAATGCTGTTGGATTTCTAGGACAGCACCGATCTTTAGGACCAAGAGATTCAAAGGTCAGGAGTTTAAAAATGGATGCCAGCATTTGGAGCAATGAACTAATTGAGGTACGTTGACTTATTCCAATTCTTTCTTAAGTTTTGAGAGGAACCATGTGAATAAGAGTTTTTCACTTTACTTACAAGAAGTTTTAAAGCATACTTGCTAAAATATGCCTCTGTTATTGTAAATGAAATGTTTCTGGGAGTACTGTACCTCTTGTGTTATTTGAAATATTTTATTTTAAGGACTGTCTGTATCAAGCACCTAGGTTTAGGGATGAGGAAAAGTAACAGGAGCACTTCTGGAGAGTTGTCATGATGCGCAATATTGGTTTAGGGAAGAAGGGAAACTCACTACCAGGTTAGGTGTTTGGACTGTTTAGAAGTGATGCTTCTAAAGTAAGTTGAGTTATTGTTATTTTCTTTAAAAAAAGGTGCTACTCTTCTCTAACCTTCTACTGGCATTTTCTAATATTTATTGAAGCAATGTAACTAGTTAGCTTTGTTAATTTTGGTACCTATTGCTGCAAAATTATGACATGTGCTTTATTACTAATTTATAGATTAACACAGTAACTGGGAAAGGATTCCATTTAATCTTATGCAGGCAATTTGCTCTGGTTCAATTTTTTTTCTTAATTTATAGCAGCTGAAAACTATTTAGAATCATTAATGATATTTGTTTTCTCTTTAACTTCAGCTCTTTATCATCATTGGGAATAAGAGAGCAAACACTTTTTGGGCAGGAAATCTTCCTCCGGATGAAGAACTGCACATGGATGCCCCTGCAGAAAAAAGGATTGCATTCATTACACAAAAATACAAAGAGGGAAAATTCAGGAAAACACCCTTTCCCCACAAAACCAAAGAACAATTGAATAAGGTAACATCAGAATGAATAAGCTCTTACCGTAACTTTTGTAGCGAATTGTATTTGTGTGTGTTTTAGTCATTCTGTTAAACTGCTGAGGAAACAAATTCAAAATCCTGAGGGACAAACTTTGCAGAGCTGAATAACTCCTACTAGGGAAGCCTTTGCAAGAGTCATTCTGTCACTTATAACTTTTCCAGTTTGTTTGTTGAAGATTATGGTACTTATGTTGTACCTGTAATAAGTACTCCAGAGTGATCAATAAATACACATCTCTATTTCTTTTCCAAATGTGCACCTCAATGATGAAAATTCCCACTACAGTTCTTTAGATTCCTTCTTAATGTTTTTTAATGTATTATGTCTGACATCTATCATACCAATATGTTAGATGGCTCGGTGTTATCAGCAGTAGCTCATGCATGCTTTCATATTGGCTTGTAGTTAATTGGAAGTGAAATAAGCTAAAATTAATGAAATGATGAAAAATGTGAGTTCTGATGTTTCTTTTTGCACAAATTACACAAGTAAATTGCTTTAAGTGGAAAATGCTAATTATCACTTGTGCACAGCTTTTTGTCCATTTGGCTGACTTGTACTGTCTACTGATCTCAATCATGACTGCTTAAGGTTTTTGAATATGAGGGAGTTAAAAATGCATGTATTTTACAGAGCTAATTCATCCAATTACGTATTAGCGAAATTGTCTTAGAATATACAGAGACTGTGGGGAGCCGATATCATTTGAAGGCTATTGTGCTTTGAACTAGTAAGAGTGGTGAGGCACTGGAACAGGTTACCTAGTGAAGTGGTTGATACCCTGTCCATGGAGACTTTCAAGGCAAGGCTGAATCAGGCCTCGGGCAAGCTGATTTTTAGCTGTGTGTTCCTGTTCATTGCTGGGGAGTTGGACTAGATGGCCTTCAGAGGTCCCTTTCAACTCAAAGGATTCTATCATACTATGAAATAGAAGCGTCCCACATTAAAAAAAAATATATATATTGCAGCAAAAACATGTTAGTGGAGTTATTATATATAAGAAGTCAAAGCAAAGGTATTTGAAATACTGCCACCTCTGAAAAGCATCTAGTCAAAATATATGATCATCTCACTGTGTATTTTGAATTCAGGTTTTCTGCATTTCATGGGAATCAGGAAATATTTTTAGCCTTTATGGGGAATATTTGTCTTCAAAAAATAAAACATTTGGATTGATTATTACTATTAACTTATAGCCTTTATACAAGACTTTTGTATTGTCACTGCTGGCTACAGGAAGTAGAAATAGCTCTTTATGGTTTACAAGCTTGATTTTTTTTTCTTAAGTCTTTTTTGGTGTAGAAGTGTCTATTTCACCATTTAACTACTGGGAAATGTAATGGTGGAACTCTCTATAGAGACATGAAATTACCATGTAATAAGTAGTCACCATAAGTAATTATGGAACTTCTACTGAACTATCTACCATGTTATCTTTTGCCTACTAAATGCTATGTGTTTATGAGAGTAGCTGAATTTTAGGACGTTTGTATTTTGAGCAACTTCTTTCTTAATCATTTCAGGAAAGTTCATCCATTAGCAAAGTAATTTAAATAAATTTTAAATTGTAGAAATTTTTATTGAGTAGATTGCTGTAATTGCAAAAGTACTGCTAGATTTAAGGTTTTGGGACATCTCAGAAGGAAAAAAAAAAAAGATTTCTTTAAGTTTTTCTGTCTTAATGCATAGGAAAAAGAACTTTATGTTGTAGGATGTGATTAAATCTTTAAATCTAGAAGATCATCAAGTCTAAAGATACCTTTAGGAATGATAGCTTTACTGACTGTGACTTTGACTTTGAAAAACTACCCATGATTTCAGCCTGCTTTCTTCTAATAGCATACAAGAATTAAATCTAGTTTCTTCAGTTGAACTTTTGAGGTCTGGAATAAGTAGTTTTCCTTAGTAGTTTAGTACGTGAAGAAAAATGAGGAGAGAGAAAGGATTTTTCATATAAACAAATAATGAATTGTCCCCACAATTGTATTAATTCATGTTAGCATGCCCTAGGAAAACAAGTGGCAGCAAAAGTTTGCAAGATTTGGGGTGATGTTTTTCTTCTTTGTTGCTTTGTAGACCATAATTCATTATTTCTGCTGATTCCCAATGTTTATGAAACCGGAAAATGAGGATGATCTATATTGAATGTGAAAGAATTTTTACCTAAATAACAAGTATTTGTTGCCTATAACTTTCTACTTTTAAACATGCTACTTATTTTCCTTCTGTATGATAAGGCCCTGTGTGCTGCTGTAGTTAAGCAAGATGTGCTAGAAACTCTGATGCTGCTGTTCAGTGGGGCTGATGTCATGTGTGCTACTGGTGATCCTGTTTACAGTACTCCATACTTATTAGCTAAGAAAGCTGGACAAAGACTGCAAATGGAATTCCTCTACCATAATAAGTTCTCAGGTAAGATATTTTCTCTCTGAGCAAACAGGAAAGGAAAAAATTAGAAAAAGAATGGTGTTGAATTGAGCAATAATGGTATATGGGAGGAAGCAACATGACATTAATTGTATTTTATCAGACTGCGTATGTAAATTGTGTATGTTACTTTCATTTTTCTTGGACATCAACTTTAGTTATTAAAAAGATAATAGTCTACAGTGGTTCATACCACTTACGCTTATTTATAATACAGCAGAAAAGCATCATCTGCTTTGTATTATTAAGCTTTAACAAGAAGAATGGGTACATAGAATAAATTAAAAAAAAAAGAATTAGAAGTATTTATCAGGCTTTTTTTTTCTTACAAGTTATTTCTGTTGATGTCTGCCTTTACTGTGCACAGTCCTACAACTCTCCTCTTTAGCTTGTCATAGAATCTATCCTAGAAAACTACCCTTTTTCAGGTTATAACTGCAGTTATAGCATGTAGCACACAGTAAACATCGGCCTTGGATGTCAGCAGGTCTGATCTCCGTGACTTTTTCCAGGCACTTGAAATATTCTTAAAATATAGTTTTAGTGAATCAGTTTTTGGTACCCATAAAATCAATTTTTTGTATGGATGTGCCTGGACTTCCCTTTTTGGAAGATTTTCCAGTACCTGTAGCAGTCTGGGAGTGAATGTTCACACACAGATTTGTACCAAAGAAAGTTAGCTATGCTAATCCAGCAGGAACTTCAGACATTGTCTCATGAAACTCTGCAAAGTAGCACTTGATAGGCTGAACTCAAATTCTTTTTTAGTGAATGAAAAAGGCAGAGAAGTTTAGCAGAAAATAGACTGTGTTGTGTTCCAGCTTCTCCTCAGATATCAAAGGTCTTGGGAAAGCTGAACTTAGATTCTGAGCTATGCTCAATTTGGTGCTGTGTGTCTGGTTGCATTCAACGTATGAACTTTCACAATTGCATATTCACAAGCAGCTCACTGCCCAATTGGCCTTGTCACTTTTAAACGGGTTCTCGCAATCAATCTTGAGGAGTTTGACCATGCCCAGTGAGGACTCCTATGCCTAGGTTATTGAGTAGTGCAGTTCATTAAAACAACAGATTCTTTTGGATTGACAGAGATAAGATTACTTGTGTGCAAAGTATGTGAGATTAACCACAAGAATAGAAATAATGCAGCCAGCCACAAATGCATTAAATCATGGAAAAGCTCTATAAGGATTTCTAAGTTTCCTGAGGGAAAATCTTGGGATAACAGAGTGTGAGAATCTTACCCAGTAGGCATCCCTACAAGGAAATAGGAAGAGAGGCTCAATCTGTTGAGTGAGAAACCTAGAATTCACACAGACTTGTCTGTGATGATATTTTCCCCTAAATTCCTCCTCTCTTAAACCATTTTTATACTGCATGACATTTTTTTGATGGAAAAGTGGAAAAGGACCACAATGATCATCTAGTTTCAACCCCCCTGCTATATGCAGGGTCTCCAACCACCAGACCAGGCTGGCCTTGAATGCCTCCAGGGATGGGGCATCCACAACCTCCTTGGGCAACCTGTTTCAGTGTGTCACCACTGTGACTACCTTCACAGATGTGAAGATAATTAATCATTTTGAATAGTATCCCCATTCCTGCAGGATGATCGCAGGGGTTGGCCACGGTACCTCCACACCACTCCACACTCTGTGTTGTTTCTTTCTTAGGATATCAGGATTTCCTGTTTGCTAATAATTGGATTTTTGGATCTTATATTACTTAGGGAACTATCATAGAATGAATTATCTACCACATCTGGCGGCTTACCTCCTCTCGAGAGGAGAACCTTTCAATAAGTTATCTCTAGTAAAGTAAATATTCTACCTATTCCACCCTGAGAATTTTGTCACTTAAAAATCACAATATTTAGCAGAAACCAGGGAGGTCACATGCAGCCTTGTTATTAGGGGCTCTCAGGCAGCTCACTGTTTATGGGTTAAGATGATTGACTGATAGTTATTAATAATATTATGCAGAACAGTGTTATCAGATCTGAATAAGACCTTAGGCATAAAAGCCATACTAGAGGAGAAAGTTGAGGGTAAGAAGGAGCATACTTTCACAGCATGAAATGCTGAAAGAACTTGGAGCTTTCCAGAGCAAATGAGGTGCCTTGAACCCGAATTTTGTCAGAAATGCCAGGCATTTTTTTCCTAGGTCATTGAGCTCAATCACTATTCACCACACAAACACACAGATACGGTGGGTTTTGGAGTGGTGGTGTTTGTTTTTTTTTTTCTGTATGTGTGGTTGTTTTTTTTTTCCCCTAGTTAAGCTGTACAATTGCCCTAAGGCTATAGAAAGAAGTTTGCTTCTTTTGGCTTTGTGTTTTCTACTTGCAATCTTTTAGCCAAGGCAGTATTGCTGTGTGGTGGATCTGGTGTTTGTTCCTTCTCTTCAGAGAAAGGATGTCATGACAGAATCCCAGTGATTCTCTGAATCATCATCTGTTTGTGGTGAACTTCTAGACAAGCCCTCAAGAGAAACAGTTCCCTTCTGTTCAAGTATGTTACAGTAAGGTGTGAAATCTAGCATGGTAAGCTAGAAAACCATATTTTGGTTATGTTGACAAGCAGTGGTAGACAATGGTAATGTGGTAACTGAAGTAAACTATTTTTGATGAATACGTAAGAATTTTCCTTTAATTATAAAAATAGAAAAATTACAATATACATCTGTTCTGAAGCAAGGAGCTTATGGAGCAAATGTGTGTCTGTAGTTATGCAGGTACGTGGAGAAGCAGTTATAACTGATGGTGGAGGAAGTTCTATATTTTGTTTACTCTTTTGTCTTTTTAATAGATTTCCCAAACTTTGATACCAGTTTTGAAAGCGGCTTCTCTGAAGATTCTTCGCATTCCACTTTTCTATGTGAATTTCTATACAAAGTTTCTTCTAATTCAACCAAGCTTCTTACAGAGAAGAAATTAAAAGAAGGTATTTCACTTGCACTTTATGCATTTGAATAATACATGAATATGCACAATATAGATTAATTTGGTACTTTTCAACATCTTGCATTACTTTAAAAAAGATAAAATGTCTTTGACTTCCCATATCCTCTTTTGATTTCATGGACTTTTGTCAGATAAAGAAAATCCTGATTGTCTTCATGTCTTTGTACAGTGCTTGACAGAGGAAATTAAACTAGTGAATAATTACTCAGTTAACAATTATTGATAAATAAAAGTACTTACAAATACTTCTCACTTGAATTACACCTAGGAGGATGCTGCTAGCTGACAAAGTATTTTCCATTTGAAATTATAATATTCCTGAAATAATCTCAAAAGCATTCCTATATTTTCAGTAAGTTCAATTGAATAACTGAGATATAGCTCAAGCTTACAAATTTCAAAAAGGATCCCAAGTGGAAATGAGCAAATCTTAAAAAAATAAAATAAAATACATTATAACAGATTAAGCTTTGTGGTTTGGAAATTTGTGCTTTAGCATAGTACATATCATCAACAATCATATTCTTATAGGACTATTATTGAGAGAGACAGAGTGACAGGTAATTTTTCCCCTTTTTAAATTTCTGTATTTTTTTTCCATCTCAATAAACAAGTTGTCTGTTTTTAAAATATGAGCTAGTTCCTGATTTAAACTTATTCCTGAGGAAATCATGATTAAATATTTCTGTATGCCAATATCCATATTCTGATGGTTTTATGTTTTTATGATCCTTAGTGGAGATTAGGCACACACACAACTCCCACTTAAATACACTTTTGAAGTATCTACCTGTTAATGTTGCTCCAAATAGTCAAAAGTATTGGCTGGTCATCAGAACTAATTCTCAGCCAAGGCATTCAAACAGTTATTGGTAAAGACATCATACAAGAGCCCTGGGCTGCTGCTGGAAAGGACTTTCTTGTGGATTGCTCTGAAACTGGTCTGAGTTTATCCAGGGAAGAAAGGAATTAACCACCAACCTCTTGTATTCACTGCAGCTTGTGTATTATACATATATACATATGTATATATATAGGTGGGCTCTGAAAGTAATGCCTTCTATTTATTTCTGTGGGAACCAGAACAGATACAAAGAGCACAATAACAATTTTTGATGGAGCCAACCCTCAATTACAAAACGTTGTTGCTAGGAAAATGTTGCCCCTGCAGTTCATCTTTCATCATGTCAGTGGATGCCATTTTATTAGCATGGAAGAATTCAGAAGTGCCGTATATTTGCTTCATATGCACTTCCGTGTCAGACACCATTTTGTCAGATTGTTCCCCAGATTGCTATCTGTCAAATGTCAACAAAATTTAATGGAATGTTATATAGGTGGGAAGGTTCAAGCTCTACTGCCATATCACGAACATCTGCCTCTGATATCGTGGGCCAACATAGTAGGATAGGAAGCATTATTTTTTGAGCAGGCATGGTTATATGTATGCTTTTGTCATTTAAAAACAAGCAAACTGGGAAAAACTGTACTGGGAAGAGCGAAGAATAGGTACAAGGTAATGCTGCTGGTGTCTCTTCAAACACAGTAGCATATTAGAAGTGCAGTTTAAGTTTGTAAGCAGATACAGATTTAAGAGTATGTATAAATGCTCACAGAATGTCTTACATTGTGCTTGTTGGGGAGATGTTGTAGGAGTGCAGAAGTCAGCTTCACTAGCAGGGTAACATAAAATTTAAGAAACAATGGAATTTTGTCAGTTTTCAGAAATGAGATTGCTTTCAGACCATGTAGTCTATTACTTATCAGTTCACTTAGCACTTTAATAAGGCTAACAGCAACAACTAGGAAAATTACAGTTTTGAATTAGAAACTGCTCTTATCTGAGGACTCTAATATTCTTCAGCCATGTGTAAGAAGTATTATGACTTTTTAAGAACAATTTACAACATAAAACTTACAATTTTTTTTCCCCATTGACCTGATTTTATTTCATTCAGGGGCTGTGCTCTACCTTTATAGAATCTGATTAACATGAAATAATCTATAATGTGCATATCCCAAGTTATTGGGAGTAGATATGTGTGTTTATATATATACCTTTGTATACATTTTGGATACAAACATAAACTACATATTATTACTTGAAATTTTATTACTTACTATCTTCAGGAAATAATTTGGTGGTTATCATAAAAAATGTGTAAGAGATAAAGTTCGAGTTCTCTCTTTGGCCAATAGATATTGAAATGAGAAATTATCTCCCCTTCCCCCCCCAGAAAAAAAAAAGTTCCATCTGGTCAGTGTTATAGAAAGGAGCCCATCAGCTGAAGCAGCTGTGATTTGTTGCTAACTGAACTCTAACTGGACCAGAGAGAGATCATTGGATCACTTGCTCTTAATTGGGGATTAGATTACTTGTCTAATTTTTGGACCCTACAAAAGAGTAGACTTTTAATTGTCATTTGTTGAAAGGGCTCTCAGCCAGAATCAATTTGAACTCTCTAAATATTAAATTAGTGCTTTAAGTTCAAAATTTCCTTCTGAGTCAAGGCAGCCTTGCCTTTGGTGACAAGGGCTGAACATTAAGTGCTCTGTTTGCCAACACAGGCAACTTGCGGTATCTTGTGTGCTGAGCCTTAACTGCAGAAAGAAACTCAAGAACTCAGTGCTGTGAACTGAACCCAGTTTCTATAAAAGTTAGGTACAGAATTTGAATCACAGCATTGCAGAATGGCCAGGCTTGGAAGGAACCTCAAGGATCATGAATGTCCAACCCCACATGCAGGGCTACCAACCTCCCCATTTAATACTAGACCAGGCTGCCCAGGGGCCCATCTAATCTGGCCTTGAACACCTCCAGGGACAGGGCAACCACAACCTCTCTGGGCAGCCTGTTCCAGCATCTCACCACTCTCTCTGTAAAGAATTTCCCCCTGACATCCAACCTAAATCTTCCCTCCCTCCACTTCAAACCATTTCCCCTTGTCCTGCAGTTATCTACCCTTTCAAAGAGTTGATCCCCTCCTGTTTGTAGGCTCCCTTTAGGTACTGAAAGGCTGTAATTAGGTCACATTGCAGCCTTCTTTTCTCCAAGCCCAGCTCCCTCATCCTGTCTTCATAGGGGAGGTGCTCCAGTCCCCTGGAAACACAGTATATTTGGGGGGAGAAAGTTATTGATAGTTAACACCTGTTAATGATCAGCAGGAAGAAAGCTCATTGCTGCTATTCTAATGCAATATATCATTAAAAAAAAGATGGTGTTTGATCTGAGTTTAATTTTTCTGCTTCTGTTTTTCATGAAAAAGTTTTAATGGAGTTCTGTTAAAAGCCATAGTATTCTAAAGTTATTCTTGAAGGTTGTAATAGTTTAGTCAGTGTTGAAGCAGTGAGCCATTTTGTAGAATGGTCACACTTTGGGGTAGGAAATGGAGGAAAATAATCAAACTGTTCAAGTATTATGCTCAGCTCCTGTAAACCTATATGTCTTCAAATACCTTGTTCTTTTGTATTTGGATGTCTATTTAGATAGAATACGGATGGAACTAGATAGAAACTAGAACGATATCCAGTAAAAGATAAGAAAACAATATTCAGATACTTCTAAAAATATGACTCACAGACTCATGACTCACAGAAAATAACATAAAAAATGAATTGGGTGAAATACCAGACTTGCTCAGCATCTGTGTATTATCACATGTTGAAAGCACTAATTAGCATTCTGTTAACTACAGTGTTGTTTAAACGAATTTAACCTTGCCATGTACGTGTAAGAATAACAACAATAGAAATCTTCAACACATTCTAATATGAACATGCAATCCTGAAACAGCTATAACTACCACTTGTCTATGATATTTCCATTTATCTACCTCAGTATTTAGGCATAAATTATGTACAATTTCATTATTATTTGACGCTTGAGCCTGTAATAGAGGAGAATTGAGTTCAGCTGCAGATGTATCTTGAAAAGGTTGTTCAATTGGTTTGTTTCTTCTTCAGTTTGACATCTTACTCTATTTTGGTTGCATATGTTTAAAAATATTTTTGACAAGGTTGAATAACAGTGTCTTTGTTTTTCTCATAGTGTACGATGGATGTAATTTTTATCATGTATGACACTTTTTAAGTTTTGTAGTATAATATTTAAAAATACTTTCTTAAACTACCATATGCTAGATTTTCTCTATGTTAAATATTATCAGTCGACTCAAACCTTGAATTCCTTGCTCACTGAAATCAATGAAACTGAAATTTCAACATAAATGTCTTAATGTTACAACAGAGCCATGTGTCCTGTAAGGCAACTTCTGCAGAAGGAGGTAATTTCTTTCTTATTAAACCAACTGACTTATCTATTATTTCTTTAACCACAGATTGCAACAAAAGATGGTGCACTTTGGAAAGTGGCTTTCTCAGCTACTATGAAAATGATAAAGCTACCACTCCTAATGGTATGCTTGACATCAACGAAGTTATCTGTCTTGTAGTGCACAATTCGGATTACTTTTTAAACAGAGGGTATGTTCCAAAGTTAATAATTCAGCAAATAAACATTTCCAAAATTCTATTATAGGTGTCAGTGCCTATCATTTTGTTCCTGAATTTTAAACATGCAATTTTGAAAAAAAAAAAAAGCTGAATTATTTTATATTGCCTTCAAGAAGTAAGTGATAAGTTATATTTGTGTTTGATGTTTGTTGTTGGTGGGTTTTTTTGCTTGTTTGTTTGTTTGTATTTTTTTTTAAGGTGGTATAATGAAAATACTAGGGTAATCTTAAAAAGGCATCATAAGTCAGATATGTCTATTTCTTACTGAAACTGAAATGCATGTTCTTAGCACTTATAAAATGGCATGATAAACTGAAAAATTAACACTCATTTCTATTTCTAGGACTGACCTCAAGTGAAAACTTTTGCTTTGCTTGCTTCTGATAATAACACATTTGATTAGAGTTCTCCATAATCTTTTTAGTTGTGATCTGTCAACCTTCGAATCCTGTTCCTTGTTCTGTAGCTGAGGACAACAGTGTAGCTGTTGAATGCTGAGTTAGTTTGAAGATATCTTTTCTTTGTCTCACTTTTCTCTTATATTCTTACACCTCCACTTGGTATATTAAAACCTCACATAGAGTTTCATCTAAGTGTTAGTTGCATCTCGGTGATTGTTGATTTCTTTTAGATAATGTGTTTGTTGAAACAAACACTTCAGTCTGTACTTTGGATCTGTCTAAAAAAATCCATAACACTTCTTTTGAAATTTCTGTCTCTGTGTGTATTGTTGTAAAATAACATCTTTGTATAGTGTAATACTGTGGAATTTGTAGATACAAAGCAGAAATGTCTGGAGAAAAAAAGAAAAAAAGTCTGTTCATTAAGTTTCTAGAAAGTATAAAGGAAAGAAAGAGCCTTACCCACTACAAAGTGAGTCCAGAAAGGAAAGAGTGAAAAATGATGATGCCTCAAAATACAATGAAATAATGAAATATAATGGAAATAGTATTCACTAAGCTATTAGCCTTATGGCATCTGGAAAAAAAAAAATGAAAAAAAAACTTTTTTTTTTTTTTTTTCTGTAATGGAATATAATGTATTTCTTGCAACATCTGCAAATGGTTCTGCTTCAGAATATTACATAAATTAAAAACTTATTGGCAGAATACTTCAAGGGAATGACTAATCTCCTTATGTGCTTTATCTGAAATTGAGTAGCATTTTAGGAGAAGCTTCCCTAAGTTTGATATTTTTGTGTAGTGAAATATTCTGTCCTTAAAATGGCTATTCTACTTGTCACAATGAAGTCCTTACTTATAATTTCTGAAGTACTCATTGAGGATGAAATAACTGATCCATGTTCAGTTTTCCAGATTTAGACAATCCTCAGTCTCCATTGAAAGGAGATAGCATGCTTAATCTTTTTGGGTTCTAGGGCATGATCATACAGAAAATCACACTAAAATGGCAAACCTTAGGGTCAGTCTTCAACATAAATAAAGATCTACAAAACATTGCTTTTCAAATTTTGCCTGATTTCAAATGGACTGCTTTTTTAAAAAGTTAAATATTTGATAGTTGAAATTGAAAAAGCAGGGTCAATCCGCTTAAATAGTTTTAAATTTTTGTAAGAGCTACAGTACCTCCAAGGACTAGTCACAAACATGACAGAACCAAACCGGTTCTGGTGTTGGTGGAAGCAGGTGGTACAAGGGCTGTCAGTTGCTGTGTATGTCATCTCTGGAACTTTTGATGAATGATAGGAAAAGCCTCTTCATGAGGAGGTTGGTGGCAAAGAGAAACAGGTTGCCAAAAGAAACAGGAGAGTCTCCATTCTTGAAGGTTTTCAGTGCTTGGCTAGACAAAGCTTGGTTTATAATTAGTGGTAGTTCCACTTAGATCAGGAGACTAGAACAAATGACATCTAGAAGAACGTGTCAACCAACATTTCTGATTCTGTGACAAGTTGTTTAAAACTTCCTATTCAGTGCCTTGGTCTGCTTAAACTTGGATGTTCTGAAACCATTACAATGGCATACTTTCTGAGATTGCGTGTAATTTAAAAAATGAAGTATTGCCCCTGAATTTTAATGTCTGTATTTATACATTTTTATTGATTTCAGAATTGCAGAAAAAAATGTTATGGAGTAGCCTTTAAACAAATAATCTGTTAATTATCTTGGTTGTATTTGTAAGATTGGAGGAGAAATTATTCCATTCCATAGCTATGTAACAATGGAACAGTAGAGAAATTGAGTTTGCATATGTCTACAGTTATGAAGACTAAATACTGTTACTTTTTTCCCCTACTTGCTTTAGGGACATCTTTACCTTTGAAATCTATTTAATGTCGGAACGTGTTTTTCTGTTTGGAGCTGAAACTGCGTATTCACAAAGAAAATGGACTTGGGCAATAGCTAAGGTAATACTGATAATCATCTTTTCTAGTTAGGTCCAGAGCCTTTGCACGACTACTGAAATGGCTTTGATAGCTTAAAATCCTCTGAGAAGCCATTCTTAGTGAATACAAGGGGTGCTGGTGGATAACAGGCTGACTGTGAGCCAGCAGTGTGCCCTTGTGACCAAGATGGCCAATGGTATCCTCGGGTACTTTAAAAAGAGAGTGGCCAGCAGATTGAGGGATGTGATCCTCTGCCTCTAAGCTGTCTTTATGAGATCACCTCTAGAATATTGTACCCACTTCTGGACTCCCCATTTCACAAAAGACAAGAATCTCCCAGAAAGAGTCCAGCAGGGGGCCATGGAGATTATAAAAGGCCTGGAGCATCCTCCTGTCTGACGAAAAGCTGATTAACCTGTGTCTGTTCAGCCTGGGGAATAGAAGGCTGAGATGGGATCTGATAAATGTTAATAAATATCTGAAGGGAAATGAGAGACGAAATGGATGAGGTCAGGATCTTCTCAATGGTGGGTAGAGATAGGGCAAGGAGTAATGGCCTAAAACTTGAGCATGGAAAGTTCCATATTAATATGTGGAAGACCTTCATTACAGCAAAGGTGATGGAGCTCTGGAACAGGTTGCCCAGAGAGGTTATGGAGTCTCCTTCCAAGGAGATATTCAAGACCCATCTGGAAACTATCTGTGCAACCTATTTAAGGTACCTGCTTTAGTACAGGTGTTGACCTTGATGATCATTTGAGGTCCCTTCCAATCTCTGCAATTCTGTGTAATACTGCTTTATCTCATGTGCAACAGTTTCCTATGAAACAGGAAAGAATTCTTCTGTGATTTAACATTTGAAACAAGATAGTACAATAAAATGAATACAAGAATTGAAACATCATTTTAATGTTGACCTTAAAAATATGTTAATAGTTTTCTATTATGACAGATGCTATATGAAATTATTTAAGTTATTTGTAGTTCATAGCAATTCTGTTCTTTTGTTTTCTGAAACACAACTCACAAAGCAACACTGTATGTGATATAGCACCAAATGGTAACAGTCATATTACCTGTTAAAACAGTTATAGTTTGAAAACAAAAAATATTTGAATTGTGTTGTGTGAATGGAGAAAAATCTGCTATACTTAATATTAAAACTTAAATTTAACACATATAAAGATTTGAGTGATAAATCTGATAAGTTTTATTTTTTTGCAGCTTTTGTCTTTTAACCTTACAGGTTTGCAATGTCTGGGTTTTGGGTTTTTTTTAAGGGAAGAGGTTGGTTGTTTTTCTAAATCTAACTCACCCTGTCTTGTTTGCTAGCATTTTGTTCCCCCTGTAGCTGAATGCTTATTAGAGAGGGACTGTGACCTGATTGGCCAGCTGTACTACAAAGATTGCCATAACCTGGATCAGTGGAGAAAAGGCTGGTTTGCTATAGAAAAGTCAAGCCTTCATTTTTGTCTTGAAATGGAGAGTGCTCAAGAAGATTCCATATATCTAAGGAGGCTACAAGAACTAAGTAAGAATTTTGGTTATCATCTAGAATGCAGGAAATACTCTACTGTTAAGGACATAGCCATTACATTTTAAGATCACAAACACTGCTGATCTCACTGACCATTCCTTTGCATGAGCTAGATGCTCTCTGAACTCCTGTCTAAACATGGTGTAAATCATGCTCTGACTTGGTTATGTTTTCCCCTATTTCGTGTAGTTGCAGCATTGCAACTTATTTCCAGCATTTTCTTTCTTATAATGGTACAGGATTGAATAATAATATATGACCTTTTGGGATTATTGTCTCGTATTTTTGGCACTGCAGAAATGCTAACTGCAGAACATGTTCTTGAGATGATTGACAAGCTTAGTTTAAAATACTCAAATGTACTGGAAAAAATTATAATTCTCTAGGAGAAATGTTTCACAGACTAATAGATTTTTTTTCTGATACTAAAAATATTCCTTTCTTCATATCATGATGTGGAATAGATAAGACTACTTACGCAAATGGTCTTTTTGTATCAGTATCTGTAATGTTTTGAATCTTGTTTAAGCATATCTGCCCTACTTGTTTTTATATTGAGCAAGGTAGTGCTCCTTGCTATATTATAAAGGAAACTAAAAATAAACTGAGATTTTATGATGAAGTAACATAGACAAGGGAGGTAATTTAACTTTTTACGGATGGTGCTCTTTGCGAATGCTGTGAGACTATGGACTGTTTTTACTGGAAATTTCCTAAATGTCATTGGGTTTTCTATTGTTGATTTACTGCCACCTTGTATTTACCGTAAATAATGCCACAAGAGTGGTTTTTAATCAGGAATACTGTTGTCACTCTATCTATCTTTTAAAATTCATGAATATTTTTATCTTGATTTGGAATTAAAAGTTTAGGCAGTATAGTGTACTATAGCATAGAGCTTGTAAAGCTGTACCATGCACTGTTATTGAAAACTACCCAGATGTTATTTCTATTATGTATAATGAAGATCTTTTTACAGTGTTTGGATGTGGTTGTTTTTGTTTGTTTGTTTTTAAACAGAAATAGCATAAAACTCAATGATCTCTGGAGGTCCCTTCCAACCCCTACAGTTCTGTGATTCTGTGAAAACAGTGTAAAAAAGAGTGACAGTGATTTTCATGGTGCACTTGAATTTCCTCTAAGATATTTTATTATAAATATCTACAAAGATTCAAATAAATTAATGGGTTTAAAAGTTCAGTTTTCTTTTGAATCACATCCCATAAAATTTGTCTTGACAAATTTAATTTCAGTATAGATGTTTTCACATTTAAAAAGTCCATCTTAACATGTTTTAACTGCTCTCTATATTACTTTTTTTTGTATACTTTATTGTATTGTGTTTTTTTGTGGAATTTTGTTCTGGTTATCAAGTAGCATTTTATATTTGATGCATTTAAGTATTTTATGCACCTTTTGTCACCAAAGATAATTCTGAAAGCACATCTGTTGTTGTCTATATATTTTATTTGTATATCATATGAATGTGTAATTGGTTTTCAGCAATCAGTAGCATGATGCAAAATGGAGAAAAAATAGATGTCCTGCTGCTTGTTGAAAAAGGAAGGTAAGGTCCCCAAAGTAGCTTTGGTCTACTTTTTTTTTTTAATCAATATTTTAGAATTCTTGTTAATCAGTCACGGAGCTTTCTTCACTTGTTGTTACTAGAATGGGTAAATTTGAAGATTTTTAAAGGATGGAAAGACTGTGCATTAACCACATTTCATGTTCACGATAGGGAGCACAAAACATCAGTAGTTTTACCATGAAACTAAAGTATTATAATATCAGTAATCTGGAAAATAAACTTTTTGTGTGTGTTATTTTTTTAAGCTGACATGTTGGGATGTATTTTGCCTAAAAGTTGAGAAGAATCTTACTTGTGTGATAGTTTAATCTGTGTGGGTAACATGTTTTGCAAGAGTGTTTTATTCCAAATTGCACAGTATACAGTGATATTTGATGAAGATTGGTTATATTCTGATGCCAGGAAAAAAAGTAGGCCCTACAAGAGATGGAAGCTTTAGGATAATTATGTGTGCATTTAGCTATGACTAGTTAAGAAAAGAGCTTCAGTTATTACTAGTGATAAATTGAAAACTATCTAATCTTAGCTAAAAGTGGATAGCTTATTAAATGCAGTTTTTCCACTGAGAAAATGATTCCCAGTCATATTAATCTGCCAGTAACTTTTTTCAAAAGGGTCTAACTTCTTTCAGTGTGTACAAGTGTGAACACTTGTGAAGAGTAACTCTGGACAATTCATCACATCTATTTTATCACTCCTGTGTCCCACAGTTCTGTATCGAAATCTGTGTAGATTAAGATCAGCAGGATATACATGTGTCTCCTGGTTAACCTTATTGTAATACCTAATCTCAGGTGCACATTAGCTTAAAAAAAAAAAAAAAAAAAAAAAAAAAGCATACTTGAGAAGTAAACATGATCGCTCTGCTTCCATGTTGGTGTTTGAGTTTTGCTGAGATGGTTATCAAATGTAGTGAAACAAGATGTTGAAACTTAAAGTAAAATACCAATTTTCTGACTCATGTAGATACTGATTTAAAGATGAAAGTAAAATTATTGAAAATAATAACTTTTTTTAATAGATTCATTTAAATTTCAGTGATGGACTATTGAGCAAACATCTGTGTAAACATTGCATCAGCTCTTACATGGACTTCTGAATAACTGATAATAGGTTAATAAGGAAGATATCTTGCCTCTCTGTTGAGGAAACATAAACAGCAGATGACTTTGAAATCTATTTTGAATGACAGAAAACTGTTGGAGAATGTTGTATCTTGTTTTATTTCAATACATTTTAACTCTTCCTAAGATAATACTTACATTCCAGATTTTAGTCAGTTGATGTAGATCGTAAACAGATAAAAGATAAAAACCTGTTTTTCCTGGTTGTTGTTTTTTCTCTCCAATAAACTTTTTGAAAGATTCAGCATTAAGTATGCTACACAAACCAAGTAGGGAACAAGCGGTATCCAGTGCCCAAGGTACAGTCCAACAGATGTATACAGGCAATGCACCTGATTTCATAGATATCAGTGCAAAACTTCCAGCTCCAAGTCAGGTTTTATTACTTCTTTTACTATAATCTTTTCACTAACAAGTGATAGCTTATAGGAGTAGGTTTTCCCAGAACTGTTTCAGTAGTTAAATAGAAATTATGAACTATCTAAAAATAATTTTAAGAGGAGTACTAGCTGAAGTATGGTAACCATAAATATGTTGGAGTCTTCTTCACTGAAGAATGCCATAAAAAAAAAAAAAAAAAAAGCATAACTTCTGCATTATCTTAAGCATTAAAAGCCATATGGATGAATGACCTTTGGGATAATGATTCTTAGTCAGGATGTGATTCCAAAATATCCAAGTGTTTATCACAGCTGTATGATAGCTCATCTTATAGTGATAAGAAATTAATTTATGTTGCTGGGAAATGACTAAATATAAAATCACTTTTATCTTCAAACTCAATTTTTGAATATGGAAACAAAACCAGCAACACTCCTTTTTCCCCTTCAAATGGGAAATTAATATCTTGAGAAGTCACTGCCATCTAAATGATATATCAGAGTTCCTAGGTTTTCCTTTTTTGTCTGTTATTTTATATCAGTACTTGTCTAATTTGTTTTTATTAGGTAGGGTCTCTTCAAGTGATGAATTTATGTACTGTGCTACTGGCAACTTTCATGCTGATTTATTAGTCACTTAAATCGAGGATAAGTGATATAATCTCAAAAATCATTATGCCAAGACTGAATATGAAGTAAAAGAATAAGACTTATTCCAGATTTAAGGAAAGTTCAAAAATAAAAAAAATACCACTCAGGAAACCTTGCAGCATCTTTTTATCTGTGTATAGAATTAAATGTTGTCTATGTCCTACCATGTCTTACTAAATTTAATCAGAAGAAATTATGAAAATGCCTTGAGAATTTTCCTGCTGAAGTTCATACTATGCTTGTGTTGTTTTGTTACTGACTTCTCTGATTAACTTCCCTTATGTTAAACATACTCATACCCTCCCCTTCCCCAGGACACCAAATCCAGTCATTGGATTTGATTAATCAGGGAAGATCGTACATTAGATGTACCATACACTTTTTTCTTAGATAATTTTCTTTTAGGTTGTTTTGGGTATAAGTATTATTTAAGTTGTTTTAAACAGTCTTCTTATTAATGAGTGATTGCTTACAAAAATAAACAACTATAGAATTATAAAAACTTCAGCTCCTACTGCTGAAATAATTATAATGTAATAGATCCAATTAATTCTGGACTTATAAATACTTAGTAAATTTATGCTTCTGTTAAATTCATGGGATACATAAACGGAATGTTTATCTGATCTATAAGTACTCAAAGGCAGTTTACAGTTGATTTGGAAAGGCAAGGAAGGTGTATAATACTTTGCAGCTTGTGTAAAATACGAGAGTTCAGAAATGATACTATGAGACAATATACAAGATTTTTCTGAATTCTAAAGTGTGAGTTCAATTGCTTTCCCTTCTTTTGATTGATCCTTTTCTCCTCTGATTTTTACTTTGAAAATAAATGGCAAGATCATATTTGTTATGTTCAGTTATAGAAGACTACTAATTTAAAAATAAGAGAGGGTAATCATACTGTACCATTGTACACTGCCAAGTAATATCATGAAAGGCTAAATCAGGCTAGTACACTTTCAAAACACAAAAACTGGCATTTTTTTTAAATTTTTTTAAAGATATCTGAGGTAGTGTGCTTCCTAAATTTTACCAATAATCCTAGATTTTTATAGACTTCTGGAATTGTTTCAAAACTCTAAGATGTTTTGTTTACATTTTGATGTCTTTAGTAAAGTTAATTAAAGCAGGAACACAATCCTTGTTATGATATCCACTGAAATTTTATTGCACTCTGCTGTTAGAGCATATTCTCAAGCCTTTTAGAACTACCTCCAGCTCAGCTGGAAATCTTGACTTTTTATGATGCTGTTTTCTGATGCCACAATAAGATGGTCATTCACCTTCTCATGTATTCTGCTTTCATAATTAACTGATCTTGATTTCTTCCTAGAAATGGCAAACCGTATTCTAGATTTTGTTCTGACATGTTGCCTTCTTTGAACAACATAAATTCTGCACTACCTAAATTCTGCAGTACCAACAGTATCATCCAAATATATGTATTTTTTTACCAGGAACCTCCAGTTCATGAATATAGGATCGCTGCCTAAAAATACATTGCCTTTTCTTTGAAAATTATTAAGAAACCTCTTTGTCCATTATTTAAGTTAATACCTTTTCAAATTTTAGAAAACAATGACAGCATAATCATTTGGTAGTTCTGATAATTTTGTTTTCTTTTGTGATTTATTGAGTAGAAGATAGGAAAATCCATAGAAATCAGAATATTCTTTTTCTTGTAGTTTAGGTAATTCATATATCATGAAGGTGGATTGACAGGCATGTGATTTAGACTTTCATATCACTGCTTGAAAACATAGATATGCCTAGGTTAGCATTAAAGTTCTGTATACTACTTATTGATATACAGCTGAGCTGCCCACTTTTTCTTTAGAAAAGAAATATTATTTTCACTACTTCCTTTTCATAATTCCTTACATTACAGAAAGTATTCTTTTGAGGCTTCAGTTTTTCTTTTTGCATAATACTGTAATGTGAATCCACCTGTTCTGCAGAGGTGGGAAAAAAGACAGTAATAAACATGCATGCCTTGTGTTGGGAAGCAACATGTCTCTTGTTCAGCGTCTTAACCTCTACTGATCTGTGAATAATAGTACTGAAGAAATATTGTAAAATTCATTGGCAGACTCTGTTTCTACTTAAGATGTTTGATTTCCTCTGTGTATGGTAATAACAATACTAAAATATGTCAGGGTGATGTGATTTTTTGGAAACTGATGTTTGAGAACTGCTTATGTAGGATATCCATTCTGTCAGATCTTCATGAAATGTTTGAATGTATTGAATCAGACACACTCATTCTACTGTAAAAGTTTGAGAGCTTTATGCAAATTACTGATTTTTCCCAATGGAAAAGAGTCTGAGTGTTTCTTCTATCCAGGTATGTGTGGTTAATATGACTTTCACTGTCAAGAAGTGGAGATTTTTTTAAAGGAGTCTTCAGGAAGCCAAAATATTTCAATATATCTTCCTATGCTGCTAAATAGTGAAATTGCTATGATGGATCCTGAGAACACTTCAGATCTTGGGTCCGAGTTTGTACTTGACTGCATCGTAACTTCCTCTCAAGACAATAAAGCTAAAGTGAATATGCAAAATAAAAAGATTCAGACAAAAAAAAAAAAAAAAAGGAATCTTTCACTATTATATTATATAAGAAAAAGTGTTTTCCCAGGTAATTAAAAGTAGTGTTTGTTTGTACTTTGAGGAAAGTATTAATGAATTATGTACTTTGAGTAGTATTAATGAATTTCAGAAGAAGATTTAAAATTTTCCTAATTAGAAAATATATTAATCTTAAAGAAAATGTAGATATAGTGATAGATGAAGAGTATGTCTGTAGAAAAGATTGCTAGGCTAACTTAAAACAATTGTTTCTTCTGTGCATGCATATAGGTTAGCATACACTCTTAAACTGTTCAGTTCTATAGCTTTCCCCAGAAGCTATTCTGACAGTGGTTTTAAAAAAGCAAACAAAAGAAAAACAAAGCAAACAAACAAAAACAAAAGAAACAAAAAAGCCAACGATCTTACCCAAGTAAAATTGTTTAAATAAGAAAATCAGAACAGGACCATGCTTTGAGATAAGCAAGCAATTAAACAATTGTATTACTATACTTTAACTTTCAGTTACTTCATATATGTTCCTTACTTAAACATATAATTTCCCAAGGATGATTTTTTTCATCCAGGTGAAGGAAGTTCAATATATCTCTTCTACACTGTAGAGAAGCAGGGTGGAAAGTAGAAAAGTCTGTGAGTCTTTTATTTCCTACTTAGCTGTGACTTTGGCATATGAATGTAGGGTGTGGGAGAAAGACTGAGGAGGAATAATAATGTTGGTGAGGTCCTTTCAAAGGTCTGACAGATCTGTTTGTGGATCCTTGTTTATTTATTGTGACATTGCTAGCACAAATGAGCTTGGAAGAAAAGGTGCTGTTAACAGGCCACCACCACAATCCTGTGTTGTAGAAGGAAGCCTTAATGTCTTATTCCAGCTATTTCTTTGGACAACTCTATGCTGTTGTAGTAGAATAACCCCATATTTTCCTTTCTTCTGTGCATTCAAAATATTTTTAAACTTTCCAGAACACTGTACATTCATGGCCATACGAAGCTGGATTTCATAGTCTGGTATACTGCAATTGAAAAAGCAGCGGGTACAGATGGTAATGCGTTGCAAGATCAGCAGCTCAGCAAAAATGATGTTCCTATTATCGTGAACAGCTGTATAGCATTTGTTACACAGTATGGTAAGTACAGCATGTTTTGTTCAACCTAAGATAGTTTGTATAATAGTTAAATCACTACACTTTAAGAACTTATTACTGAATGAATTTATAGATATTACTCAATGTAAAATCATACCTCTTGTTAGCCCCACCACTCATTGATGTGGTGGTAAAGTACAGTGCCATGTGACTGAGAATAAAAAAGTGCATGGAAGTACAACTACAGAAATCCCCTACGTGCCCACTACAGTATTTTTAAAATTGACTTATTTTCTTGATATAGATTAGTCTTTATCTCCCATGCCTCAATTCAGAACTCTGCAGCACTGAGAACAATCTATGTGATGCAAGAACACCTCTGACTTGAAGTGATCAGCAAATCCAGGAAATTGATGTTAACTGTGGAACGAAATTCAGTTTTAAGGTTGCTGATTTTTCCTAGCAGCCTAGGGAGGTATAATGACTTGCTGTTTGCTTGAGTAAATGTTGCCAGTGTAATTTTCTATAGCATTAGATGATATTAAGATTATGCCTGTGTCCTTTTCACTGCTGCAAATTAATCAGTTCTCTTGTGAAATGCTAAATATCTATCAACGTAGCACAAATTTATCTTCAGGATAGATGTGTCTATAACCTCTGTCAGTATGAGAAGGCCTAATTTATATTTCATTGATTGGAATCTGACTAAATTTTAAGTGTGACAACACTTCATTATCATAAATAGTTGTATCTGGGTTACAGTTGTTGGCTTAAACTAAGAAATAATGTTTTTGCTAAATTATTTTTCATCATTAGCGATATAAATTTTTCGAAGTATAATCTACACTGTTTCATGCACTGAAATGATGTTTAAACTAGGATAGAGGCATTCCCAACTTGAAAATATTGTTAATACATGTTCTAAATTAAAATACAGTGTCTTAATACTTTTTTTTTTTTTTTTTTTTTTTTTTTAATTAAGTTTTCATTTACGTATAGTTTTTTTTCAGGATCAGAGTTACTGGATGTTATACTATTCACTTGGAAGTTGAAAGAGTTGTATGTTACTTGTAGACATACATGTTTTTTTTGTTGTTGTAATGAAGGCTATGAATTTGTTTATGTCCTACTCGTGACAGACACTATCAGGTCCAACAGTTGTTCCTGACAGTAGCAACACAAAGACAGTATCTAATGGTAGTGCTTGTGGGCATTGCAAGAAAAGTGAATTGCAGGGCATAAATTCATAGGTTTTGACAGAATACTTCTTTTGACAACTACATAAGGAAGGCAATGTTTCGTACATACTGATTTTCTTTTTCAAGAAATGTGGAGAAATACAGTAAAATCTTGTACAAAGAGAAATAGAGGAACAGAATCCACATAAAATTTCCACAAGTATTAAAAAAAAAAAAAGTTTGACTGCTTTCATATGCATAATTGAAGGTAGTCTCTGCTGTGTTTTAGACTACGATTTTTTTAATTTAATTTTTTAAGTTGGCCTTGATATTTTCAGCCATTTATTAGTCGCTGCATAGTGTCTTCCTTGACTTGAGAAAAATCAGAAGAAACAGTAATTGTTTCTAGTAATCTTGAGCTTTCTGATAGAGAGATCAGTAGGAAAACAAAATAGTGTGAGTACTGATAACGAATAATGTAACTAATAACTGTGCTGAATCAGTATCAGCCGTTGAAACTTCTTTCCTGCACTGTCTTTTCAGACCATAGATTTGGGATGTACTGAAGAGATCTGGGTAGTTGAGCTGCATGTAAAACATTCCTGAAGTTGTGGCCCAAGGCTTGATTAATTTTACGATATGTATATTTACAAATATAGACTTGTTAGTGTTTTCGCTAACCAAGTATGCAAAAAGTCCAAAAGACACTAGTGATCTGTAGAAATGTGATCTGTTTGACAAGCCAGATGTACTTTTCATGTAAGAAGGTTTGGAATTTCTAAAAGAACATGCAATTTTACAGATATTTATTTCTATATTCTATCCTGCATTTCTATTGCCTAGGTTTAGGTAGCAAGCATATATACCTCAAGAATGGCAACTCATCCAATGTGGCTGAACTGCTGGAAAGTTTTAAAAAAGATGCAAGGAGTGTTAAACTGAGAGCTGGAAAACATCGACTTGAAGATGTGACTGATGTATTGAAAAGCTTTCTTTCTCAAATAGATGATGCAATTCTCACTAAGGAACTCTATCCATTCTGGATTTCTGCATTAGGTAATATATTAAATAACACTCAATGCAAGAAAGATTGTTTGCATGTACTCAAGTATGAGAGTTTTGTTAAATACTTGCACCGTATGCTTAGAGATGCATATGAAAAAACAAGGCGGAGCATTACTTTCTGCATTGCAGCATTGAAATAGTATAGGCCCACTGATTGCTTGACTAGCTTTATTTTTGAAAAGGATGATTAATTTCAAGCTTAATTTCAAGCATATGAAGGTTTCTCCAGTATAAGCTAGTATAAGTTTGGGAAATTCAACTACAAATATTGATCTTTCACCTTATTTGAACAAATTAATGGAAGAAATGCTAATTTATTTACTGACAATAATATTGTTAAAAAGTCATATCTGTAGTAGTTTAGATGTTAGCTCTTTTGTGAAAGTGCATAGCACCGTCACACTGATTTAGCTTCTAGATTTGTGCATTGGGCTAAAAATTCTGCTCCATCTTTTAAAGAAGAGAATCCTGTCCTTCTTTACAAAAGTGTCTTGCACAGTACTTGTGGGAAGATTGAAACCCCTAGGAAAATAGAGTATTATGACCTTTAAACTGTTTGTATTTTTTCCCATGTCACTCAGTAAATACGGTTAGCTCAGTAGTTACTTTAGAGTATTAGCAATCACCTGGAAGAGATTGGAGGAATTCTGCAGATTTTCTTTTCAGAAACATGAGAAAAACAATGGCAGAGTAAAAAATGTTATAAATAAATAAATAAATAGTCATACTACATTAACTAAACAACTGCCCCAAGCAGGATTATTCTCCATAGCCTCTGTGCTATATTCAGCACAGAGAGGCAGACACAAAGGGATATGACTGTGTCTCAGATACTGGATACAGTACTGGAATTCTTGTTTGCCATTGTTCAGCTTTGTTCACCTTATTTTCTGCCCTTCTCCTTTCCTCTCCTCTTATTAGTCTTTTATTTTTAAAACTTTAAACTGATTTGGACCTGAAGACATTTCTCCAAATTTATAACAACAACAACAACACAGATGAAAAGATATTTTTTTCCTCAGCTCTGGATACTCTTGGAAGCATATATTTTTACAAGGGTTGGTGTAATGCCTCCTACTTTATCATCTTGGTTCATGATGCCAGCGGAGGATGTTGGTGGTATGGCAGTAGAGGTTCCTTCCTACCACTATTCCATTACGTTTTGTTGCTATGTGACAAATAGCAGCAGAGGAGCAGTCTGACAAAAATGGTGTCTGACATGGAAGTATGTATGGAGCAAAGGTGTGAAAATTTAGTTTATTGATGCAGAAAAAATTGCATCCTTTGATGCTTATCAACACTCACTGAACATTTGTGGAGACCAAACAATGGATCTGAATGCTGTTAGGCAGAGGGGGGTGCATTTCAGCTGTAGCGATGGTGACAGTGGGTCTGTTGGTGAAGATTTTCATGAGCCCAGTATGCAGTCTCTTATTGCTGATCTTGTTCTTTCCTTGAACAAACATACAATAATAAATTATTGGTATTGTCTTCACAAAGAAAGGGATTGAGTAAATTACAATTTTAAATAAGTAGATGATGCAGACATAGTTCATGAGAATTGTTGATGATTTTTAGTACACGTTGTTAAGGCTCAGTAATTGTTATTTTCTGTTAGATATGCAAAATGAAAAGGAACGCGTGATGAAGTACGGAGCTTTTATTCGTACACTCCCACCAGTCAATAAGGCAACTTTGGCTGCTTTAATTGAACATCTTTACAGGTAAATGTAAATAATGCACTGTAGCAGAAAAATTCCTGGAATGCATAATTGAATATGAATAAAATGAATACCACCATGAATAAAATGTGGATCACTTCATCAGCTCGTAAGCATCAAGAGCTTATCTTGTAATTATTAATAATATTCAATTACCTTTAACTTATAATGTCTCTTTGGTTATATTTTTAGTAATAGGTAACTATAAATATCAACAATATGGAAATGTCTTATAGTGATAGGGGGCTGTCAGTATTTGAGTCCAAGAACTTCTTTAGATGATTTTTTTTTTTTTTTCACCCTAGTCTATTTGTTTTCCAGTAAGGTATTGCAATTTTTTCTTGAGATAAAAAGATTTTTTGGGGTGAAATGTCCTTCTCCCCTGTCTGTACTGGAAATGACAATTTTCAAATTTAGCTATCTGTCAAACATTTAATCATTTTACTTCACAACTGCAACTGCGATAATCATGGAGAATATTCAAATTATTCCTGGTAAAGTGTTGTGAGTAGAAAATGTGAAAACCTTTTTTTTTTTTTCTTTTCTGTACTCAGAGCAATTACATAGTAGATATTTAAAAACTATTTATACAATTACTAAATCAACTGGTACTTTTACTAGGATAAGGATTACACTAAGTATTGTAGTTAATGATTTTTCTAAGCTTATTCAGTTCAGATACTGATTAAAATGTTCTGAAAGCAGTTTGTATATATCTTTATAAACAGGCAAAATTCTGCTAGCTTACAAAGGAGAACATCTTATGTAAACTACAGTATGAAGACGTAGATCTGAGAACTTCACTGCATGTACAGAAACTAAAGAATTCCTAATTTATTTACATGCTTTTGTTGCTCTAAGGTGATTGGTTTATAGGATATACATAAATAAATAATGTAACAAATGATTTTGATACTGCTCAAGGTGCAGATACAAAGCATATGTTTTCTTTCTGTAATGAGCTGCAAGATAAAGAATATAAAGAGGTAAATAAAAAATGTAATAGATTACACTAGGTTTTTCATTCCTTTTTTTTTTATTATTATAATTTTTTTTTTTTTTTTAAATGTTCTTCATATTTTCTAGAGGAGCACTGAACAGTTAAAGGAATAATGGGATCATCTAAATATATTTATTTCTCCTTCAACAGGGTGCAGAAATGCTCTGAAATCAATCATATGAACCCTCACAATCTAGCCCTGGTGTTTTCTTCTTGCTTATTCCAAACTAAAGGCCAGACTAGTGAAGAAGTCAATGTAATTGAAGATCTAATTAAAAATTATGTGCAACTTTTTGATGTGGGTATCTTTATATAAAGTGTCTTAATTGCTCTGCTGTTAGGCATGCTAAAATATAGAAATGTCCTTAATGTTAGAGATGATCCTGGTGTTGGTTACACTGTCTAAAGATTTTCAGTGTTACTGAACTCTAATTCAGTGGATGTAGTTTACTGTTTGCTTTAAATTTTATTTCCCAAATGTCTTAGCCTGTGAAGGAAAGACTACATTTATAGAATTACTGTGAGCTATTTTTTCCCAGGATGGTGCACATTCTTGCTGCTGATGATTGCTAACAATCTTAAGAGAACTTTGATATGATAACTATTAAAAGTAATGCTTTCATTCAGGTTTTATACATTAGTCAGAACTGAAGCATGGAAGAATTATGTTTTTAGTGTTTGAGCTGTGATTGCAATAAGAATTTTAGAGGAAATAAATTTTGGTTCCTTAGGCCTTGAGTGTGCACTGAATCCAGCTGGATTTTCAGCAGCAATTAATCTCAGCCACTTTGGCTTAGACTGTCAGTGTACCATTTTGCTTGGCAATTTTTTCATGGAGCCCTCTCTCTTTTAAAATGGTAAAGTTCATAGTAATGATCACATCAATGAAATAGTCCTTCTGATGGACAGAATATTTTATAGTGTTTCCATAAGAACATGATTACTAGAAGTAATAAATATCTAATTTTATATTCTACTTGCATTTATCAGTTTATTATATTGTAGTGTTTTCTAGTTAATGTTATAATTTTTATGGTAGTTTGTAATCATTAATTAAATAAAACTGTTCAATTTTAAACAGGTAAATGAAGACCAGATCAAACAAATGGATATAGAGAACAGTTTTATTACCAGATGGAAAGACACTCAGGTAAGTGGCAAAACTTTAATGCAATGCAAATGCTTCTAACAAAGAATGTTTTGTTGTTTATAGGTTTTTATACTTCAATTTATGTAATGTAAATTTCTAAGTTTATATAGTGACTAGTGTTGTTAACTGCAGAACTGAGGGAAATAAAAATGAGGCATGAACTGATAAAGTAGAATGGTTTTTGTAAAGCAGACTTTGCAATTATTCCAGTGTTCAGGCCAGAACATAACTTGAAGGTTGTTACATGCTTTTCAGTGCTTCATACACTAGATAGAAATGATCAAAATGTCTAAGTATGAAATCGGAGACCAATTTTAAACATACATATTAAAAACTTACAATTTTATGTTAATAATTCTATTATTTCATGGTGTTTTGGTACATATAGTCTCTCTCCATTAGACAGCAACAATCCCTGTAAGCTCGGAGTACCTGAATCATTTGCCATATCCTTTTTTACATCCATACATGGAGCCTGTATACAGAGTACAAATATGGCTGGGGAAACAACATTCAAACATGTTTACTTAGTCAAACTGAACTTTGGGAAATGGGATATGAGAACAGGAGATTTTACTATTATCTTCATTTTCAGTTGTACTTATATTTAGATTTGAATAAATTGTGTGTTGATAAGAAGCAACAGTGATAGTATATTTAGCAGTCAGAGTAGTCTGTGCGTGCAGTCCTCATTAAACCAAAAACTGGTAAGTTAGATAAACATGACTAAGGTAAATGAATCAAGAGATGTCAATGGAAGCAAGCATAGGACACTTAGAAGCTTTTTCTAAAATGTAAAGTAGTGTTGGAGCTTATCAGCCTTTAGAAATGAATGGAAAGTTGACTGGAGAAAAAAAAAAAAGGTCTTTCAAAAACACACTGAAATAACATGTTTGATGCTTTGCTACCTTGAGTCTATTTTTACCTTATTTCCTTCTTGTCTGGGACAGAGTGCCATTAAGCATTCTGATAATGGCCTACTGACAATGTGTGTGTAAAATGCAGAATGTCTGCTTTCTCCCTTTGTTGGCTGATGACAAATGATTAAGTCACTGGGAATGAAAGCATCTACCTTCGTAATGCCAAGAACATCCTGTAGATGTTGAAGTATCTTTAATGAAACTTCTTAATTCTGGGTCCCATGAAAAGAACCTTACTGAGATTTGAGAATAAAATCTTGAAGCTAAAGATTTGCACATACTTTTAAATGCATTCTTTTTTAGGCCTTTAGAACCAAGAAATACTTGTTACAGATTTTTTTTACACAATTTACATTTTCTCAGCTGCTCTGGGAAGCTTTAGTGGTAAAATGTTTTATAATTAGGAGACATTAATAAGACCTGAGAGAAGTGTTGTGAGTACATGAAGGGCAATGAAAACATGGTAATTAGTTTTGGAGATAAAAGAAACTTAGGGGAGGTTGAAGTTATGAGCAATTTTTTACCAACTTCTAGTTAGATGGTTTGTCCAAATCTGAGGAATATAGAGAAGAACCATATTAAGTGGTTTTGTTTTGTACTTTTATGAGGGAGCTGTGTTGCATTTCGAAGGCTGCCTGATGAGCAAAAAAAGGCTTGCTTTGTTCTATTATTTTATTTTATTTTATTTTTAAGATGTAACTCTAGGCTTTCTAAAATTGGCATAGTTTTTATTATAAATATTAGGCACCTGAAAGCATCGTCTTAATTTTAAACTGTAGAATTAAATTAGAACCTTCTGAATAAATGAAATGAAATGAATGAATGAATAAATGAGCCTGTTTTGTTTCCTGCAAATATTCAGATTGATGAGAGGCAAAGTTACAGAAAGATAGAATCAGGATTTTAACTGTACTTATTTTGCTCTAGAAAAGTCTCTACTATTAATAATCAGCTTTCTTAATTTTGTAGCTAGACCTATGTTTTAAAAAAACAAAAAAAAACCAGTCTTGATTCTGTAATAAATACTATGTTAAGCTTTAAACTCTTTATCAAAATATAATGATATCACTTCAACCTTAAAAATGAATCAAATCCTATTCAAACAAAATCTTCTACCTCATCACAGTATCATCTAGGTTGTAAGAGAATGTTTGAGATCATCTAGTTTAACCCCCCTTGCTCAATCAGTGTCACTGAGCACAAGTTGCCTAGAACTGTATATAGTCACAATTTGTCATTTTTAACCCAGGTCTCCTTTACTAGGAGAAACTCTTCCTTCCTCCAGACTTTCCCTGTGGACTTAAGGGTGTGGGGATCTTGAAGGCTGGAACGTTAGAGGCAAATAAGTTATTGTGTACTCTGGCCTCTTCCATGTTATGTCATGAGTTCTCCTTCTCCATTCAGCTTCAGACCCACATATTCTATAGACTCTAGTCATCAGCATTCATGTTTTTCCTTGGTGGATGCTGATTCCAGTTTGAACCAGGAGCTCCTTGTTGATCCACGGAGGCCTCCTGGTATTCTTGCCTGCCTTCTTTTTTCTCGGGACACATTGTTTCTGGGCTTGGAGGAGATGGTCCTTGAATACCGACCAGCTTTCTTGGACCCTTCTTCCCTCAAGGGCTTTCTCCCATGTCATCCTGCCAAGCAGCTACCTACAGAGTTCAAAGTCTGCTCTCCTGAAATCCTAAGTAGCAAGCTTGCTGCTAAGTGCTTCTCAAAAAGCTTGACCTTCTTCTGTGCTATACTTTACATTTATGACTTCTGTAATAATTGTCATAATTTCAGAAGACTAAATTATACGCATTCCTACATTGGAATTTTTTTCCAGGCTTGACCATACAATATTTTAAACCTCTGCTGTTTAAAAGAAGAGTACTTAGTTTCCAATACCTTCATCAGCGCTTTAAGAAGAATAGCCAGACCCAACCAGTTGTGTGATGAACTGTACTTGTCATGCAGATAAGAAACAGGATAAAAATCTTTGGAATAGAATGGCTAGTTGGAGTGATCTTACAGATATCTTTTATTATTTCAGTGAAAGAAAGGAGTATACTGAAACATACTGTTCTCAGCTGCTTTATTCCTCTTAGTCATTAGCTGTCATCTTATAACCTGTGAGCAGTACTCTAGGCTCTGCAGGGCTCGCATGTGGAGGTCATTAGTGTGGAGGTTGGATTTCAGACTCATGCAGTAAAGGTACCTGTTGGTAAACTTTTAAGTATAGACCTCCAGCTACTGTTAAAACTGATGTCTTGTTGCAGACAGTAATTTAACAGTGTGGGTAGTTGACAACTCAAACTTCAAGTAATTATACTTAATTCAGTGTATCCTTTTCATTTAACATTTGGTTGTCTGGCATTATTACATCTGAATGTATTTACGTTTGCAGGGAAAATCAGTGATGCAAATACTTAAAATATTTGATTATATTGGTTTCTACAATAGAATTATCCCCAGGCTGGTGATACAGTGTTCAGAGAATGACTGAACCAAATTTCTGCTGAAGGCCTTAAAGTTCTTACATCTGAAATGTCACTGCATTCCAGGTGGTACTTCATTAGCTCTCTTCATTTTCTGTCCACCATATATTTAGGCCAGCTGTTTCTGTTTGCAGCTGTAATTTACAGTACATTTTCTCTCCATACAGTTGTTTACATGAGCCCAGTCAAATGTCAACTTCATTCATTTTTCAACCTTTTTTTCTGTAATACCATCTGAAAAGCAAATTTTAAAACTAAATGAGCTTTTTTTGAGTCTGTGCCACTGTAATTAAAAAGCTTTCTTAAAAGTAGCTTTTCAATGTTTTTTTTCACAAATGTTTCCATTATTTTTCTATTTGCAGGGGCAAAACTAACTTTAAAGTCACCATTTTCCATAATGTTAATGTTCTTCAGAATTGAGCTATGCCATTTATTTTTCTGTGGAAATGTATCTTCTCTAAATTAGTCAAAATATATCCCAAAGCCTACCTGTTTTTATTATTTTCTCCATAATTTATTCAGCATATGATGCAGATTTTGTTTTTCTTAGGCTTTATCTTCAACTTTGCTATGAATACTCTTCTCAGAATTGACACAAATTGATATTCTTAAAGAATTAATGATCAAATTAACATTATCTTGGTAATATTAGTAAAATGATATGCTTGCTAAAAGGCTCTATTAGGTAGCTGAAAGGCTACCTTAGTTTTTCTTCCCTGCTCTGATCATCATCTTTTTTCTTTTTTTTTTGAAAGTATTTTTAGTACTGGGATGAATTACAGTCTTTTGAAGGGGTGCTTATGATTATATTGCAAAGGAACATGAGCAGGAAAAGAGCTAGACATTTTTAACTACAGAAAATTAATTTCTCATCCAAGTCTTATTGCCGTAGTTGAGCAACCTGGTAACAAGAAAATACAAAATTTCTTTCACAAATCAGCTTTTTCTCCTTAATTGTTAAATGCTGAATTTTCTGACATCTCTATTTCTTTGTAAGATTCATGTTACTACACATTCTTTGATTGAATTTGTTGCTACTAAGTATATTAAACTATTGCATGTTATGATGTATACTTGCTTTGTCATCTAATTACTGCATATTGACTACTTAACATAGAAGTTTGGATATTTGGTCCAACAAAATTAAAGAGAGAACTTTAATGGAGATTGATACCAAGAACATGTATTTTGATTCCCCTTTTTAAGTACGTAATGACATGTATTCATTGTAATCAATAATAATAACTGTAGACTTCACAGTAATGAGTTCTGATTATCTAAATTTGTGCAAATGGGTTTAGGAATGGAATATTCTGGTATTAGCAACTTTTCTTCTCATTTTTAACAGATTCATTTTATTTTGGGACTGCTTCCCATCCTTTTCCATGGTCTTAAGTTCTGTTTATCTTTTTTGGTAATGAAGTGAGCTTGGCTAAAATTTGCTTTTAAATATGATTATATTGGGTTTAGTCGGGGTTTAGATTTTTCCTTTGAATCTGAGAAATATGATTTCTTTCACTTCACTAATGAATGTCGTACAGATTTTTCCACTAGACTCAGCTTTGGGAGTCTTTTGTAGATAAGGGGTGTTACATTCAAAACCTGCTAGCACATCTTCTAAGTAATCAATGCACTTTCCCGGATTAAAAGAATATTGAATATTTTCTGACTTTTTTTTGTCACTATGTATTATTTTAGGTTTCCCAGGCTGGAGACCTGCTGATTGAAGTTTATGTAGAAAGAAAGGAGCCAGACTGTAGTATTATAATCAGGGTGAGTGTATAAAAGGGATTTTTACCAAACACTTTCTCATACTGCCTTCAAAATAATTTTCATACATGCGTATATAGTTGCATTAAAAGGGTATGAGTTTATATATATCACTGTTCTTTTAAGAATCTTTTTTTATTTAATGTGTTGCCTAAATTTTCTTAAGACCTATTAAGCATTTTTAAAGAAAATGTTATAATACAGTTTTAGAACAGACATACTCTCCTTGGGTTTTACTGGAGTACACAGTGGTATATAGTTCTGTGCTGCAGGCTTAGAGCTGTGAGAAGAAAATTAAGAAGTATACAGTGAATACTGGTTTTATTCAATACTAAAAGACCATTTAAATTACCATCGTGGTGGGATTTTTGTTTGTATGGTTGTTTTTTTTTGTTTGATTTTGCTGGTGACTATCTGCCTTGCTAGAGTGCTGAAAAACCAAAACTTGCTACTTAATGTAGTTGAGATTTTTCAGTCTGGTGTTTTACAGACATATTTTAAATGCACTCGTGTCCATTTAGTAGTACTCTATTGTTTGGATAATGATAGATATGGTCAAATGAAAGTAGGGCAGTATCTTTCCTTGCCCTTTGAACTTTTTATTTCCATTTTGTTCAGCACATGATTCTCAAATGTATATGTATATACTACATGATATAAATATGTGCAACATTTATGTATGCATATACATCAAAAGACTGCATTTTTGTGGATTTTATTTTTTTTTTTAATTACTTCGTTACTAACATAATTTTAATAATTTTTTTTTACTAACCTTTATTGTCATTCTTTCCATACTTAGAAAAAAATACCCTAGTTTTTTTTTTTGTTTTTTTTTTTTAAGTGTTTAAAAAAGAGTTTAAAGTGATGAAAATGATACCATTTGCATGATACAGAATATAGAAGGCATTCTGTAGTCAGAAAATAGCATGAATTTCCAACTCTGTGTATCTGTTTTGTTTTTTTTTTTCTTCAGCAAATTTTGTGGAAGATTTGAAGGGAAAACTCAGAAAATGGTAATTTTAATGCATTGCAAATTGACTGAATTTATGTTACAGGTATCGCCTTTGACAGAAGCAGAAGAATTAACTAATGATATTTTAGGAATAAAAAACATTACTCCCAACAAAGATGATATCTGGGCCACTTTTGAAGTACTTGAAAATGGTGAACTAGGTTAGTGATGCATATTCATTAAATTATTATTATCTTTCAACATATAATCAAAAGGTTAAAGAGTTATTAACTTTTTTTAAATAATTATAGATATTATTTATTTTATTAGAGATAATCTTCAAATAGCAAGATAGCAATTTTTCTGTTATTGTTAAGGCATCTTATTCTAATGAATTCTCACTAATGTCATCGGATTTAAAAAATGTATATGTACCCGAGGGACAAAAATATGCTTTTAGCAAAAAATCAACTTCTGTTATCACTTTACACTAAGTTGCTTTTAGTATTATTTCCATGCTCCAGAAGTGGACTGTGGACTAATCTATTTTTGCACTGGAGGTAGCTATTTTCAAGTTCAGAAAAATCTATTAAAAAATAGAAAAAAAAAAAACATAGATTGAGTATTTTTGTTCTTTATCTTCGTATATACTTACTAGTAAATCTAAAGAGGTTATAATATTCTCGATGCACTCAGTCTTGACCTTGGCAGCATCAATAATGGGAATGAAAATGTATTCTCCATTTTTTTTTTTTTTTTTTTTTTCAACTAAATGATCCTGGCATCTCTTGCGTGTTACAGTCTTGTGGTATGCTGTGTAGACTTGTAACACAGAGTTCATTAAATTGTTTATATATGTGGGTGTCAACTGACAAAGAATGCTTATCTTTGCAAGTGTCCTCCTGATTCCTATGAGACCCCTAAAAATGTTATTTATTTTAACTGAGTAATGGAAAATAATTGAAAAGGGAGTTCAACTTTTGTAAACTTGCTGTATAACACTTATAAGCAAATGAAAACTAAAGGTGATATGGTCAAGAGAAGTTATTAAGAAGTACAACAGACAAACCTTTTGGTAGATTCTTGAGATATCTGCATGTAGCAGTCAGTATTTTCATGTAGCCTTAAAAGATATTCTAAGCTAATATCTTCTCAAGATTGGCAAAAGTAGGCTTACAGAGAGACTCTGTAGGATATATATATATATATATAGGACTGTCAGTGTTGGTAGGGTGTTAGTGTATCCCACTGAAATAAAAGAGATTTATGAAGCAAAGTAGAAAAAGACTAGTACTAAATACTAAAAATGAAACAAGCAAAACATACAGCAAACTCAATAAAGCACTAATTCAGTATCTCCCACCAGTCTAGATTCTTGTGGATTGTAGATAGTTTTTCTCATGGATCCCTTTGTGGTAGAATCAAAGTGAAATAAAATGAATAATGAATAAATAAAAATGAGGGTTCTATGACTGAACATACCAGACTTTCAAAAGGCTGAAAAAGAAATGAGCTAACAGAGAAAGATAGCTACTTGCAATCTTTGATTCAAATATGGCACTGAATAATTAAAACAGTAAATCTTTCCTACTTCGTTTCTCTTGTGACATTGGTCATTTAATTGAGAGTTACATAATCAAATGCGTTTACAAGTATTTTGAATATTTGATATGACAGGATAGAAACAATATTTGCTTATTTTACTCAAATGTACATCAGTTACCATAGTGTCTTACAAGCAGAAAATGAATTTCTGTGAGAATTCCTGCCATAATCTGGTACCTGTCTGGTACAGGGTGATATTTGGTTCCTTTTGCTTAATCCCAAAGTTTTCTGAAAGTTACTTTACTTTAGTTTTCCTGAAATGTCTTTTAAGATATACTGCCCTGGAGATGAACCCTGAGAATTCAAGGAAATTAGATTCTTGTATTTTCTAAAAAGTAATTTTCGCCTGATATTTGTTGTAATTTAAGACTAAAATGACTTGTTTGGGATATTTGCTAGCTTATGATGACCTAAGTAAAAGGTTAATTGGATGCATGTGTTGGCTGCTTGCTGTTCAAAATACTGAAATTGCGGTATTAAAAATCAACTAAAAATCAACTAAATTATTTGCATATAGAAAATGTGAAATAATTGATAATTTTATCTAACCTAATGCACAAAGTTTAATACCATATGCTGTTATAAAATAGGGTGTATATTTCTTTTAGTAATTTGTACTTGATGGATAGCTTGTAAATGAGCTGGTTTGCCAGTAAAGTAGCTAATGCATTTCAGCATGATGATTTATGTACTGTGTAATCCATGATGACAGATGGTCTTAAATGTAACTATAAATAAAACAGTAGGTGTTTACTCTGGGAATGCTGGTGTTCTAGGAAGTTGTGGTGAATTGCCAGTGTTTCCTGCTGCCTTTGATTTGCAAAGTTACTCTCCTTAAAATAGATTTTTCCTCAACTGTACAAAGACAACAAGTTATTTTGACTTCAGCACATCAAAGAGACAACAGTATCCCAAAAGTTGAAATGAAATTAAAAAGTTGGACCATTTAAAACAAAAGAGCCAGAGGACATGGAGTTATAAAATGGTTGTTGAGAAAGTATTTTTGTTAGGCTGTCTTGTTTTCAAGTCTGCATAATAAAATCTCGCTATGAGTGATATAACAAATATAGTTAAGTTGTTTAAAATTGCCTTGTATGTGGCTGATACATTCTAGAGCTCTGGTGTTTGGGTAAATGTTTTGCTAGAATGTGGTACTGTACAGTCCCAGAGCAGCTGGTGACATTTCATCGCATTCATCCTATCAGAAGTGATAAATGAGATTATGGCACCATACTTTTCCCGTTGACTACCAGGAGATACAGGGCTAGACTGCTTGACTCTACACAATTATGTCACACAGGTGTGCTTTTCCAGGAGTTGCATTCAGGTCTTCTCAGGGCTTGATCCACATTAGATGTGAGAAGGTGGGAGCTTAGAACTTGAGGAAAAATCTGCCTTAGGGGAGAGAAGGACTCTTGCATCCACTCCTCTAAGTTGTGACTTGCAAAGCCATTGCCAAATCTATGTGCTTTCCATAGATTATATTCTGTGCTTACTGCATGCCAGCTTGGTCGTGTGCATGGAAACAGTTACAGTGGTACTGTACAGAGGGAGGTTCTGCCATGCAGCCTCCCTAGATCTGCATCAATGTGTGTAATGTGATACATGAGGCTGCAGTGTGTGCGTCATGTTCACAATTCTGCTTGATTTGGTAATGCAAATTTAGGGGCTATTTGCGAAGTGTTTCCAACATGCATTTGGTTTATAAACGAGTGTTTTGTATAGAGTACTGGTTGGGCTTTTGTGTCACTGGTGTTTCTATGAAAGGGTCTCAAAGTTGCTTTTTTTGGATGAATCGTACAACAAATGTATGTCTCCGCAATTCAAGTGTCTCAAAAAGGGAGAAAACGCTGTAAGATCTCTTGTTCTTCCCCTCCAGTTGAAGGAATGAAGCAAAATCAAGTGTCTGTCTCAATCTGCTTTGATTGTTAACACACAGTGTAGTCAATGTGGGCGGGTATTTTAATTTATTTTTTCCACTGTGCTCTGAATACTCTGGCTTTCTTTCAATTGCAGAACATTGAGAACTATGACAATTCATTTCTGTATAGAGCCCAGACCAACAAAGCCCATTATAGCCCATTATGGCTCTCGATACTGTCTTACTGTTTGTTTATATATGCCCTGTAATAATATCTAACTTTTGCGTTTGTTTGAAAGCAGCATTTTAGCACCTTTACTGAAGGAAAGACTAATAACTAAACACAAAAGAATTGCTGAACATCTGACTTCTGCTTGTTCAATTTAGTATTCATTACCTATGCAGACCCTGCCTGCAAAGGTCTTGCTCCAGAAAGTCAATGAAGTGCTTAATTGTCTTATTTTGAAAGCAGATTTTCTGCTGTTCTCTCATTACCTGAATGAGGCAAACTGTGAATTTGTAAATTCTAAGGGCCTATAGTTTTTTTATTTAAACTTTTTTTTTTTTTTTTTTTTTTCTGGAAACTTTTCAGAACGTCCACTGCATTACACAGAGAATGTTCTAGAACAGGTTCTTCACTGGAGTTCACTACCAGAGCCCGGCACTGCATATCTGATAATAAAGAGATTTTTAACAGCAGACATGATGAAACTCTACAATGGTATGTATTTTTTTTATTGAATATCCTTGTGTCTGTACAGGAAATGAAAATTCTTTCATAATTGTTTCATAGAAGCAAAATGTCCTAGAACATCTGAATCACCAGTATTTTATAAAAGCTTGTGCTTCACTAACAGTTGTACTGACTTCCTTTTAAAACAGAGAACCAAAACCATACATAATTTCTGCAAATGCTGCATGCCATGTGAACATACATGTGAGCTGAATGTATGATTTCTGTTTACAATTTGTGAACGTGTTCACAGTCCTTCCACATAAATACTGAACTTTCTCTCTATCGGTGGACTAGATACATGCATGTATGCGTAGTGTGTGTTATATATTAAACATAATTGTTTCTATTATGTAATCTGATGCCTCCAAACTAATTTGAGTAACATAAGCAACTAAATGACTTTTGTACAACATGTGGCTGTTTGAAAGGATGAACTAGACCTGGCACTTGAAAGGAAACACAGCTCAAATGTAAATCCCAATTTTCTACTTTATAAGCTACCCCAGTCATACTTTTCTTTTTTTTCGCGATTTATCTGGAGTTAGATCTCCCACCTAAAAACGTTCAGCATTTAATTTGAGGGAAGCAGTTCAGAAGTTCAACATGCACAAAAATGACTTTTTCAAGCAGTTGAAATCTGTATGCTGTCAGTAAAGCATGCGATGCTTCACCATAAAAAGAAATATTAATTTTTCCATCAGTATGTGTTATGTCTTCAAGAAGTAAAAGTTATGCTGTTATGCTTATTCTTCTGAAAGTAATAGCCTTCTCTCATCATTCTCTTTTCCACAGATATGAACAAACCTTAACAAGTATGTTATTCATGGCTTTTATATTGGAGTTTCACTATCTCTAAATGTGTTGCAGCTGATAGTGAATAGAGTGAAATAGCCTACTTCATTAAAAGCTTGATATATGAACTCCCATCACCTCACTATGTGTTGAGGAATAATCAGTAAAAGGAAATGGGTTGTAAGGAATGTGTGTGAACTACTGTTCTGAGAAACACATAAGTATGAGGCTAGTGTCTGAAGTTCAATTTACAAAATGTAGTACTATCTAAAGGGGAGAGCTGACATTTGCCCACCTTCTTTTCCTCCTGCTTTCTATACCCATTTGTTCCCCCAGTCCATCACAGTAATTGAGTTTGAAGCAATTCTTTTCAGTTTGACCTTAGTCCAGACACACCGGCTTTTGATGACTGCGTGTTTACGTTTATTGGTTCCTTTTTCTAGTCTTAAAATAATTAAAACCTTATTTATTAAATTTCTGCCATATTGCAAACTTCCAGTATTGATCTCAGAGTAACCTCATGTACAACAAAAATGTTTTCTTGAATATGGAATCACTATTCTAGGGAGCTTTTATGTGGTGAACAGATTTTAATTTCTAAAGCTTTAATTTCTTAAAATGCTTCTTGCTATGAGAAAATAAAAATGTTTAAAATACAAATAGTTCTATAATCATTGTATCTTGTAGAGGTTCTGAGACTAGTTCCTAAATTTGCTCTGAAATATTAACAATAATGAGCAGCTAATGCACAAATTCACTAGCTTCAGCAAGACAATGTATGTATTGTGTAGGCAAAATTGCCTAGAAGATCCGAATCAATAATTTTGTAGTTGCAGAAATTTACATGTTTATTGTTTCTGTTTCTAGTCTTGTATCTGTACATGCTGAAAACATATAAGCATCTATTTCAAGGCAAAAAGATGTCTTTAGATCAGCACTGAACTTTCATCACTAGACATTGTTAAAATGATAAAAGAACAGGATTAAGCCACTGGGGAAACAATTTCAGTTTCCAAAGGGAGGCAGCAGTCGTGGTTATGTTGAAGATCTCCTACGCAAAGTACACAAGAAATCTGCAGGCCAGTAGGGAGGATGATCTTGTCAGTCTTTTACCCTCTTTATGTAGATATTTTCTCATCACTAACTGAGCAGTTGGACTGAGTCCAGATGTTCAACTGCTGTTATTCATAGTGTGGTTTTTAGTAGTGATTTCAGCCCATACAAATGGACTACTGAGTTGATGGTTTTCTTCCTCTTCATTAAAATTCATAGGACTGTGATCACATTTATGCTTATAATTGAATTTGGTGAATTTTACTTTCTTCTGTGATTTGTATTAGAATCTTCATAAATTATGATACTTCTGACCTTTTTTTTTTTTTTTTTCTGTTAATATTATTGCAGAGTTTTGTATTATCAGCATTTCTCTTCTAGAGGCATTAATGATATTTGAAGTAATGTTAGTTCAATAGTGAGCCTATAGAAGCAACTCTTTTAGCCTCATTTTATTCTGGCAACTTATCAGGGCCTTTCCTGTCAGTGAAACTTTTACCATGTTTCCTGTATGTAGTATACTTTGTCCTTTCTCATAACGCTTTCACTCTTTTTCTCAATCTTAAACTGATTTCTCATGTTCTGCAATACCAAACGTTGTAGTGAGGTATAGATTTATATTTTTTCTTGTTTAGAGATCAATTTTTCTTTTCATGGAAAAGAAATGGTTTATTCTTACTGATATGTTTCAGAATATTTGTTGTGAATTTTATACTTTCCTCCAAATCTTTAGTTCTCTCCTGGCAATTTATTCTATAGCTTTTGATGCCTGTTGCAGAAGCGCTGTCTTTGAAGTGCTGTTCTGCAGGGCAGGGTGTGCATTGCATTTTGGTATGAGAGATACTCTGTGCTGTGTAGTTCTATTTCGAGACCCTTTATCTTCTCTTTACCTGAATTTTTCCCATATTAAAGATGTATTTGTTAGAAAAATGTGAGGGAATGGATTCACTATAAAGTGCGTATAAAAGTACTTGATTTTTTTCCTGGTAAAGAGTTGTATAATTTGAGTGGGAAGTGTTGATATCTGAGAACCAGGGGCTATTATTCAGAGAGATTCTTTGTAACACTTCAATACTGAATGTGAATCAACCCTGAATGGATTAAGTACCTCCAGTTCTTAGTAGCTGCAAAATTCTGGAAAGCTTCATGTTCTTTACAAAATTTATATCTGAAAAATAGATAGGATGTGGACTGATCATTTTAGATTTGTGTGTGGAATACTTCTGAGGAATACAGAAAACCATAAATCAGAGGAATATTTTTTCCTCTTTCAGGCTTTTACAGATCTTTGCAAGACTGAGTGTTCCTGGATTTGCTAAGGTGGGAATGCTAAAAAGTTTAGGAAGTGGGGGTCTTGTTGATCATTTTGAGAGCTATGTGTAGAAATATAAAATATTCCAACTGGTAGAGCATTCTGCTTCTCTCACTTGGTATATTAAAAAAAAAAAAAAAAAAAAAAAAAAAAAAGCCTGCATTGGTGTGGATAAGGACTCATTTTCCACTCTGAATACCTCTGAATACGAAACAAATTCTCTTAGTGGCAGAGAGGAAATATGCTCATGTTTGTGTCTTTTTATTGTATGTTTGCGCAGAGAGCTGAGGAAATCAGACTTTTGATTTTTTCATTAGATTCTGTCATAAGCTTAAGAAAATAGTGGGAAATATTATGTTGAGATTTTCTTCTAAAGGCAAACATGCTGATTAGAATGTAGTTGATAAAAATCAAAGAAATTTAATACCTTTTAAAATTTCTACTATATTTTCTAAAGTATTTCTAAACTCCAGTTTGTGGTAAGATATAAGACAAGAGGGAAATAGATTCACAGTTTTTAATTGTCTTTTGTCAATAGAGTTAATCAGAATAATCAGGTGTCTGAATCTGGATGTTACCTATTTACTTTTTGTGCATACACATGTGTGCATATAAAACTGTATTTAGTATCTATCTCACTATTTGAATGTTGGGGTCCTTCCTAAATAATTGTGTGGAAAAATTATCTACATGTTCTTCCAAGGGAGGACAAAGAATATAAATATTTAAATATAAATAATTAAAAACAGTATGAGATGCATTTGTCTTGGACTTTACTTTTTATGATCATTAGTGATATTTCATGCAATTTCTGATAATTGTACATTACAGCCAGACTGGCTTCTTAAGCATTGTTATTTGTGTAGTTTGCTGTGTAATACTATTCTTCATATTGGAAAAAATATCTGTGGCAATAGGTTTAACCTACAGAAAAGTCATCTCTGTATTCTTCTAACTGATCAAACGAAAATGCATTTTGTTATTTATATGATTGATTTATTTAAAACGTTTTATTCTTATTTTTGAGATTATAGTGTGTACTATTTCACAATAATGGATTTTTTTTTGTATCTGTTTATCAAGTCCTAAGTGGAACCAGCTAATTGAATTAGGATGCTGTACTCCATATACTACATACTCTTTTTGCATCACAGTTTTGTTTACTAACTTGAAAGGAGTATGCTGTAAAAAAAACTGCTAGTATCATAAGATTTCTAAGAAAATTTATTCAATAATTCAAAAATAAATGAATGAATTATGTACATCTAGAAAAATAAAATGAGTACTGATGGCCAAAATAAGTAGTAAGATTGTAATGTTTTGAGTGAATTTGTTACCGTGTTAGTGTATAGCTCCCTCTTAAAGATGAAATGTTGTCTAGAATGGAGAAGACTTTATCTCCTTCTGGCTGCTCTTTCTTCATGCTGACAGTATGTTTCCAGCATGTATGAGTGTGTACATACATATAGGAAAGAACTGGAAAAAGAGAGGCACCTTGAAGTTGTATTGGAGTGATTTATATGTATTAGTAATGAGCTTCAGTAGTTCTTACTTTAATAAAAGCTTTTTATTTTTACAAAGTTTATTTATGAAGCAGACTACCATCTTTATTTTAATATGTACATATACTAAATACATGTTTCTTTGTGTATTTTGTATACATAGCTGCACATTCTTTTCTGAGAAGATCCTTTTAATTTATTTGGTGAATTCTTTCTGTGTTATCTTAGGAGTAAACATTAAAATACATTTCCTACCAATAATTAAAATCATTATGTTATTAAAATTTGAGTGCCATTATTACTAAAATCAAAGTGTAATTTTTGTCTTTTGATAAACACTAATACTGAGAGCACTTAAAAATAAAGTAGTTGTTTCCAATGTTGTAACAGATTCTAACAAAGACCTTTTTACTTTCTTGGTAGAGAGAAATGTGAAGGGTAGTGTGAAAGCTGGCTATCTAAAGTACAAAGAAGAACCTTCAAAACTGCTGTCTGGAAACAAGTTTCAAGAGCGTTATTTTGTACTACGGGAAGGAAATTTGCTTCTTTACAAGGATATGAAGGTACATTTAATTCTTCACTAGTTTAATCATAAATGCTGCCTTGAACTTTCTTTTTCATGTAGAAATGAGAAGACAGACAAATAGATGAATGTTTCTGATACTAAATGGCAGCTTTTAGTGATGTACAAGAATTTAAGGTCCTTATTTCAGAGGCTTTAGTAAGAAGAGCAGCAATTGTTGATTTAGCTATTTTGATTATGGTATATTACTAGCTGTAAAAATGTTTATGAATGCTTACATTTCCTTGTGCTGTGAGTAAAATGAAAACCTCTGTAGATAGTGGTGTTAGAAGTAATATGAAGTTGGAACTGCATGCTGTTTTTTTTCCAGTATCTCATAGATCTTTAGAGATCAAAAGCAACAGGAAACTTTTACATACAGATGTCACGAGTGAAGAAATTACAGGAAGTAACATCACTCATTATGCCAACAAAAGCTTCCCCTTCTTCCTGATAACACTGACTTTCCTCTTAGTTACTGAAAAGCATGAACTTTTTCTACTGATGTGCTCTCAGGTCTGCAAAAACTGATCTTCATAGTAAGACTGAATCTTACTTACAGAATCTTTCTTATTTGCTTAATACCAAAATGGGTTCAGTTTTAAGTATTTAAAGGGATTTTTTTTAAAAGAGTATAGAAAATTTATTACTATAGAACTAAATAACATACAATTTGAACTATGTTTTCACATGGTTTAAAAAATTTTTTTAAGTTTGAACAGCATTTATTTTTTATTGCTATTTTTTGCCCAACCGGCAAACATATGTGCCTTGCTCACCTTTACACAGTATAATAAGAGGTTTTTTTGTATGCTTGACATTCATTGTTAATCTAGTGGGGGGGGAAGGGGGAAGTGTAGTCTTGAGACTGTGGATATTATTCTAGTTAAAATGATCCCAGAATGTCAGGAATAGTGTATTGTAATTTATTGCTGACACTCAAATTGGTACACATATGAGAGTATACCAATAAGCCCATCAAAACTTAATTAATAACTTGGAAAAAGTTTATGGTACAGTACAGTTATTGTACTACTTTATGATCTCCTTTTAGAGCCATGCTGATTCATAAAGCATTAAATTCCTAAATTGAGGTGGAAATTTTGCTGGCGTTGCTTTTAAATGGCTTTATATTTTAAAATAAAAGAAAAGAGATACTACATGGAAAAATAATTTAAGTATATTTCTTTTTTTTTGAGAGAGATGTTCATCCACCACTAGTAGTCTTGGTTAAATTCTACGTTGTAGTCAGAAATGAATAGTAGAAAGAGATGACACTACAGATGGAAAAATGGTATTTAATAAGATTGTGTGTAGTAAATAATTTATGAATTCTCATTAAAAGAAATTAAGATTATATATTCAGGTAGAGATGTATTCTGTTAAGTGTTTCTTCTGTTCAGTAATTATCAAAAAAGTTTCTATGATACTTACGTTAGTTTGATTTCAAAGAAACCTCAAGGGATCCATGGTTTGACTTACTATTTTCATGTCAGGGCCAGAAAAGAGGTCAGAACGAGTTGCTCAGGGACTAATCCAGTTGAGTCTTGAAATCTCCCAAGTACAGAGATAGCACAATCTCTTTGGACAGCCTGTTCCTATACCTGACTCTCCTCATGCAAAAGAAGTTTCTCTTCGTATTTGGTCTAGTTTCAAATTGACTTTCATTTTCCCACCATACACCACTGCAAAGAACCTTCTCTGTGTAACCTATCCAGACCTACTTGTGGGTTTTTTCTCCCATCTCAACAAGCCAACCTGTGTCAAGCTCTCCAGCCCCCAGACAATTTTGTGACCATCTGCTGAAGTCACTCAAGAATGTTGATTCTTTTCTTTCATTGGGGGACCCAAAAGCAGATGCAGGACTACAAGAGCTAAGGAGAGGGGGGAAAACTCCAGCTACTTTGCAGTGTTATTGCGGGGTGTTCTTCCTTCTCAAGTACAGGATTTGAGGTTTATCTTTGTTGAATTTCCTAGGGCATGTTGGTTCATTTCTTCAGTCTCTGCAAATTCCTCATGTTCCCAAGTATATTGACTAGTCATGTAAGTTGCAGTGCAAGCTTAATGATTCACTCCTCCATGTGATTGCTGTAGATGTTAAAAAGGACACAAAAGGCTACTGCAGTATTCCTCTTGTCACAAGCCTGCAGTTATAGTGTGTCTGATTAACCATTAACCTCTGAGTGTATTCATGCAACTGGCATTTTACTGATAGTGATGTTGCATCCGTTGAGACCTTAATATCCCAACTTGAATAGAAGATTATTTTGGGAGATAAGTGTCAGAAGCGTTGATAAAGTTGAGGTAAATTTATACCTACTGCTTTCCCTCCTGTACAAATCCAGTCTTCTTATTGTAGAAATCAATCAGCTTGGTTGTACTGTCTGTTCTCAGTAGCACTGTCAATTCCATGTACTCAGAAACGTACTCTAAGAAGCTTGCTCCAGAATTTCCCCAGGGAGTACAATGAGGCTGGGAGACAGCAAATTCCCCAAGTCATCTTTGCACCTCTTAATAATGTCTCAACTCCAAATCAGCCTTGGCTGTCCAACCACTGTCCCTCCATGTCCTAAGTAGCATTTCTAAATTTCTTGCTTCATAACCTCTCCTTTCTTCCACTTCCTGTATGCTGCCTTTTTGTGTGCCACCTGGGCTACTCACCTGACAGTTGTTTTCCTGAGTATTGAGATGAATAGTTGATTTTGGCTAATGCTGTCCTTAAAAACATTTCCTGAGTTTCTTTACTCCTTGAAGCTGCCTCCTCCCATCGACAGAACTCTTAGTTTCTTGAATAAGCCAAAACTTCTCTTCTTGGTTTGTTCTCTGCTAACTTTTCAATGTTATTCTTCTCAGAATCTTAAGTACCAGTATTTTGCCGTTGTTGTGATCAGTACTACCATCTGTATTTAGCAGATCCAGATTTGCATTAACCATTGTTGGCCCATTCAAACCAGTATCAAGAAACATTCCTGACACCCTCTAGAAATCTGCTGAACTGCTTGTGTCCTGCTGTGTTTCACTTCTATCAGACAACTTGGGGGAGAAAAGTCCTGTTCTCCCTTACACTGTAAAAGTTGGAATCTATTGTCCAGTCACTTTCTTCAGTTGTTTAAAGATTGATTTTTTTTTTTTTTTTTTCTCATCTTGATTATGTGATCTGGAGTAAATACTATGATACTTGACATTCCTTGGAAGAGCTCAATTATTACAGAAGGCAGCCCTCCTTTCATCTTCCCTGACTGTATCTCCTGAAGAGTTTGCATCCATTCAGTGCAGCCCTCCATTCTTGTGACTCTTGCCACCACGTCTCTATTATTTCAATTGTTATAGTTTTACGACTTCATGTTGAGCTCAAGTTCTTGCTAATTAATCTTTTGCTAGTAGTAGTGACTGGCACCCTTTCTTAATGGGAAAGAAAGAGAGGAAAAAAGCATAATGATCTATTAGAGAAGAGTGATTCAGTCCATGAGAGTTGTATGGCATTTTCTTCTTTTGTATGTTCCTGATACAATAATTGAAATCTTAATTTACTTGCAGGCTAGCAAACCTGAAAAAGTGTTGCCTGTCAACTCACTGAAGCTTTATCTTGGAGTGAAAAAGAAAATGAAACCACCAACAAAGTAAGAATAAAAATGAAAAGAAGCTAAATACCATGTAACAAGGTACTGTAGTGCCTTAGAGAAAAGGAAGCGTAAAACATTGTGGAACTGGAGAAAGTTGAGAAGCCATTTGAAGTATGCTGTATTAAATTACCCTCCATAATATTATTTGTTCCGATGTTATCTCTGTTCTTGTGTTCCATGTTAACTCTTCTGTACTAGGAAATTACTTTATTGATTGGCTTTTCTTAATCTTAAATGTATTATCTCTTGTGGATATGTTTGCTGCCAGCTCACTTAATTTTGGAGTATGTGCCCTGCATTTCATTGGTGGACACACATTCTTTGCATCAAGAAAAAGGGAAAAGAAGAAAAAAGCAATTAGTTGTGGCCTTTAGTGACAATCCCCATTGTTCAGCAGAAGATTTCATTTTTCAGGACCCCTGTTATTTTTGACATTTCTCCTTCTAGATGAATACTACTGTGCTCTTTACAAATATCAGTGACTATGTCTCTGGAAAAGTGGAGTGAAAAATGACACCTGTTTTTTCAGATGTTTCTAGTACTTCTTTCTTTAAAGCCTTGAGACACAGCGACAATAAGATTTCATACCAAGGGGATTCTAAGCAGACTGTACCCTGTAGGAGATTTGTCTAAACTTTTCCCTTACTGTTGGCATATCAAAATGCCCTCCAAAAAAGTCTGTAAATTTCAAACTGTAGTTATCTTGAAGAAAAAGTTGGTGGGGTTCAGTTTTGTGGGGCTTTTCATGTTTGATGTTGTTTTCCTTTTTTCAACAGGACAGCATGGGGGGGTGTTCTTGGGTGTCCTTTTTTTTTGTATCTCTTTGTGTTTAATGCAGAATAAGTAGTTGAGTAGTCCAAAATAAAAAGGCAAAGGCTATGTAAATGAGTCTTTGCAGGTAGGTTATTTCTTTGAGGCTTATTTTCAGTCTAACTGTTTGAACTCAGAATTTACAAAGTCTCTTCTAGAGCCCTAAGAGCATCTGGGTGTTTTTTTCCACATCAGAGACTTCATTGTGATTTCTTTATTGGACACTATCTTAGTAGTTGTTTTGCTTCCAACGGTTTTCAGAAAGAACAGCTGCCAAAATGAGGCAGGCAGTTAGCCATGATCTCCAGGACTTGGCTATAAACCTTTGTCCCGAAGAGAATGCTTATAACCTGTGAGTCAGTTGTGGGAAAATGAGTGAAATAAAATATCAAACCCTCAGTAGATTTGCAATATGCATTGAATTGTACTGAAAACAAATAAACAGATAAAAAATACTACATAATTCATTGCCTATAGCTTCAGGAAAATGCTCCTGTCTTGAGTTTCTGAAACTAATTTTGATATTTTCTTTTGCAGCTGGGAAATTGTAGTGATTTCTGAAAAGCACCAATGGTATGTAAACATGAAACACATAATTGTTTTAACTTCAGTGTTTAATGTTTCTTGAAATGTTCCATTTCAAAATAACTATGTTTTAAAACTAGTAAGCATTATTTTGCTTAAATGTTGACGAGTTGTTACATTTTTCCTAATTAACTAAACAATTGCAGTTGATATATTTTGGTAATCTCAAGGAGGTTAGTTGTCCGTCTCTTCTCTATGGCCGTAAATCAGCAAACAATTTAAAAATTTTCGATTAAAAATTCATGAAGTCTATACACATGCTTTAAATTAAGCAGATAGAATGTCTTCAAATAGGGTTAGGTGATAATCTGAGATAATAATAATTCATTGTCTTTTTATGGGAGTCTTAAAAAAATGAATATTTGCAACATTCATAAATGTATGTAAATTCTATTTGAACTTGTCTAGAAATTTAGTCTTTAATATCTGTAGTTGCATTATGTTGTTTTATTTTTTTTCCTTGTTAACTCTTTGTTCTAGGCATATATGTTGTGATGGACAGGACGCACAGATAGACTGGATGATCAGCATTTTTACTGCAAAGGTACTAATCTGATCAAATGCAAGAAATGCCGATTTTACTGCTGTTATGAAAATCCCATTAAAATGACATGTATTAGTTATAGATGCACTATGGATAAACCCGCAATACCATTAAGATGTCTGGAGTATACAGTGCATTAGTGCTACAGAAAGATGGTTTTAGTCTTTGAAGACTACTGTTTACAATTGCATTTTCATATGAAAGCTGAGAGCTTTGAGGCTTGGGGGAAGAACATCAGTATAGTCTGAGATCTGATTTTCCTCCTGTGTACTAGGGAAGCTGCTTAAAGAAAGACAAGTTATTTCCTTTGCAGTAACAAACCTCTTTTGTGTGAAATTCTAGCTGATGACACAAAGGTTATGCTTGTCCCACAGAGCCTGAGTGCTCTTTCTGTGGATGCTGGATGCTAAGTAGTCATGAAAAAAAAGGACCTTGTTAAATACAGTGGTGGAAACTAGTCTTGTTGGAGAGCTGTGCCAACACAGGTGTGTTTTTCCTGGTATCCAAGTTAGCTTAGTTAACACTGGCACGTAATTGTGTTGTCTAAAATTAAGTTATCTGCTTGTTACTAGCTTGTGAGCAAGGAGGTAGTAATTTTGAGTGCCTTGTAAATCACCTTTGCAAATGGAATTTAGTATTTAAATGGTGAGAAGTGAGAGATGCGAAGATGGGAAGAATGCAATCTGACATTAGACTAGAACAGATTTGAAGTTCTTAAAGGGATTTGGTACTTGGGACTGATTTTTTTTCTTGTCTTACCCATGATATTCAAGGAACTTTGAGGGATATCACAGTGAATAAACAATGATAGATTTATGATAACCCGTGAACTTTACATATTACATTAAGTGGGCTGGGAACTGCTGTTGCAATGCATACTTTGTAAACGCTTTCTGAAACAGTATCTATATCTCTGACCTTCATAGGTAGTAGAGCTAGAAATATAATGTATGCCTTCTAAAGTAAAACAAATTTTGGTCTTTTCCAGCTCCCTTAACTGAAGTAGCTATTGTAGTTTCTATGGAAACAGCCACCAACCCTGGCATACATCTCATGGGCATAACATGAGCAGTGTCACAACAAATAGGCTCAGAGGTTATTGATATAGGCTATTTCGAAATAACTCACACAAGCTTTGTAAGTGTTGAAACCCTTCTGACATGAAATCACAAGGAAGGCAATCAGTTATGATTCTGATCAGGTAGTGTGGTATGCAGAATGTTACTCTGACAATATAGATAAAAAAACAAAAGGCTTATCAAAGTTTAAGAGATCCTTTCTAATGTAACAAATTCACATGCATTTTATAAAAATTATGAATTAATACTGTTTTATGTTGTTGTTGTTATTAATAATACTTGTATTTTGAATGCTTCATTCTCCTGAGGCCAAAAAATTGATGATACTAATGCAATACCTTGAGATTTTTTCTTTTTTATTTTTTTTTTTAAACCAGTGTTCTGGACAAAAATAAAAGTTAACAGTCTTTAAATTATATGAAATATTAAAGTGAAGCTGTGTTGTTTTGTTAGAATGTACTGCTTAAAGTACTATTTACATAGAATTTTATTTTTTTTTATCACAAAGCATTAGATCATTTTTTTCACGTTGTCCCCTTTCTAAACAAGAAAACTTTAAATGCAGCTGAGTTGTTACTTCTGGTTAAAACTGTCAAGTGGATTCCATCTTTAGAGAAGATAACATTCTTCTATCTTACATTATCACAGTAATTGGAAAACTTTATATTAGAAAGACTCCAGACAGCATGTTTCATTTATGTCAGTAGAGTAGCCGAATTTAGTTTACAATTTGAGAAATAGTGTAAAGAAGATTTTGGAGTTCTAAGACATTTGTATTAACTGATCTGGTGCAATTAGAAGGGAGAGAAATCTCCTAATGTGCTCCTAGGTGCTTAAATAGACAAAAACTTCATGTTGGCAATTTTGTACTGCTATCAGGAAAAGAAAGAGAAAAAAAATAAAATTTCTTAATTCCTGAAGTATAAACAGTATAGAGTGTCTAAACAGGAAATTCAGAATCATAAAATCATAAAGGTTGTAAAAGAACACTAAGACCATCTACTTCAACCATCAAAACATCACCACCTTGCCCACTGAACCTTGTCCCTCAATGCCACATCAACTGTTTTCCTGCAAACCTCTAGGGGGACAGTGACTCTACTACCTCCTTGGGCAGCCTGTTCCAATGCCTTAGAACTCATTCTGAGATGTACTTCCTAATATCCAGCCTGAACTGTGCAGTTCAAAGCCACTACTTCTCATCCTATCATCACTTACCTGGGAGAAGAAGCTGGCCTCCACTTCACCACAACCTCCTTTCAAGTAATAGTAGAGAGCAATAAGGTCTTCCCACAAGCCTCCTCTTCTCCAGACTAAACAATCCCAGTTGCCTCAGCCACTCCTCGTGAGACTTGTGTTCCATATCCTTCCCCAGCTTCACTGCCTTTGTTTAGATAAGGAAGTTGTAGATACTACTGTAAGTACAAGAGTACTTTTACTACAGAAAGTAAATTTATTCCGCAGTTTATTCAATTTGTACTCAAACAGTTAAATACTGAAAGAGTTTGGAGGAGATCAGTTGTTGCTTGTAGTGCTATGCAAAGTCAGTCTGAAAAGTATGGCCTAAAACTTCATTCTTTAATTCTACAGTAGTTTTGTACAAGACTACTAACATATATAAGAGACAGTTGGAAAGAATTAATTGATATGAAAATTGATGCAATTGTTTACTTCCAATTCTGTTGCTTCTGTTTGACTGGAGAGAGGCATACTGTGTTACTGTAATGTACAGTTGGGAGGATAGGTAGAAATTAGGCTATATAATAAATTTATTTATTCATAATCCATTGCTAGTATTTCTGTTACATTTTCCCAGAGTTCTACTTTAAGTAATGTTACAGGCACAAAAGAGAAATGGAACTACATCCTTAAGGCCTTACATTCCTTCAGCTGAAAATTAATGGAGGTGGTTTCCTTCAGATGCTCACTTAAAGCCTCTTAGCCACTTTTGGAATCACTTCTGTTTTTAAGTCTTAGAAATATAGAATCATTTAAGTTGGAAGGGACCTCTACCAATAATGTGTTCCAACTCCGCTGAAATGAACAAGCACACCTGCAGTTAGATCAGGTTGCTCAGAGCCCTATCCAGCCTGAGCACAACTGTCTCCAAAGATGGGGGCATCCACCACCTCTCTGGGCAACTGGTTTTAGTGCTTCACTACCCTTATTATGGTCTACAGTAAATTGTTTTTGATCTTTTCTTTCAAATAAAACATTACTGATGTTTTATTGGAAGAAAAATGAATGTTCTTAGTGTTCAGAAGGGAGAACTTTTACAACAGAACAGCCTTTTGTATCACCCAGGCCAACACCATGTGTACCCTTGCACTCCAGTATGCAAATATTTCTTTATATTGAGTTCTGGTTACTGTATCACATGGGTGTCCAACCTTTTGGCTTGCCTGGGCTGCAGTGAAGATAAATTGTTTTGCGTTGCATATGTTAGATTGCTCTGAATGTAATGCCTCCTATTTATTTCCGTGGAAGCTACAACAATAGTACAATAGCACTGTTTGATAGAGGAAACTCTCAGTTACAAGATGCTAGCTAACCACCGTTAGCTATGCATTTTTGTCTGCTATGGACAGGAGCCTGCATGCTGCACTCATACAAATCTGCATCAGTGGAGGAAACTCACTCTTGCTGTTGTCACTCTAAAAGCACACCACCTACTGCATCACTGTACTCGCATCCACTGTTTGGTCTTCATAAGGTTTCAGCAAAGGTCAATGAAAGTCAATGAGTGAAATGTTTTCCTTATGGAAGAATTCAGTTATACACTTTTACTTCATAAGCACTTCTATGTCAGACATTCTGTTAGACTGTCCCTCCATTGCTGTCTGTTGCATGGCAACAAAATGTAGTGGAATACTGGTGTGAAGGTTCAACCTCTACTGCCATACCACCAACATCCACCATTGCTGTGGCCAAATAAAATGGGAGGCATTACTTTTGGAGCTACCCTTATAAAATATGTAAAATACAACTAATTTATAGAAGTAACAAAATATTTTAATTTTTAGTATTTCTTATTAAAACATAAAAAAGGAAAGCAACAAAGCCATGAAACTAGTGGGATATTTGACCTTATTTTCGTGAAACTAATGCATCAGGCTGGTTTTGATTTCAGTGGTTTCAATTCTTAGTGAGTTCTCAAGGTAATAGTTGGAGATTTTTGTTGAAATTTTATTTTTTCTGTGCTTCATCCTTGAAAACAGTTATGTACGTAATACCAAAGAGGGATGACATGAATAAGATGTGATTGTAAAGCAAGGGATATTTCTCTCTGCTGACACTGGGCTTATAAAAACCAATAAAAAGATGTGGTCACTTTTTTTTTTAGTTGAATGTCTGATTGCAGCTCTACATTCCATTTGAAAATTTGCAGGTAATGTGTGTTGACTGAAAATAGAGTTGCAAACATACAAAAAAAAAGTGACAATATTTTAGGCGATATTGAAACTTGTTCTCAAATTCCTTTATCACAATAGAAAGTATAGCTACATATTTTTTTACTTCTCACAGGACGGTGTTTAGCCAGTGTATCAAAACACATACATTTAATTGCCATAACTTCAGCTGACATTGCTCTGTGCCCCATGTCTTGTTTTCAGCCCAGATAGGTTTCATAGTACACTGAAGTTTGCTTCATTCTAAGTGACAGTTGCACACCTTGAGCCTGGCCAGCTTGCTTGACAGGGCAGAGCTGCTGCCATGATGGGTGGGTTGCACTGCAAGCTGTGCTGGGCCACAGGTGGGCAGTGGGTTAGGGTTGCCTGCTATATTGCTTGTCTTTTTTTGAATTTAATTTGGAATATTCAGGTAATTATTTATTTTTCTCTTTTCCCAATTATGTTTTTCACTTGAATAAAGTTTCATACTTTGGGATTCTCCCCAGAACTGACCTATTTCAATAGAGCAAGAAAAGACCTAAAGCCAAATTTATTTAAGTGTAGGTTATGTTTTTTTGGGGCATTCAGACTGTCAGACCATTTCTTTCTGGATAAACACATGCCGTTATTGTAGAACAAGCAATATTTTTCTCCTGAGTTATTAATATAAATTTTTAAACGTTTGCAAATTGGGATAGTATTATTTCAGAAACTTGTATTAACTCTTCTGAAAGCATGCTTTTGTGGAATTTGAAAGTTTTTGAGCAAATATATGGGTTTGTCTTGCATGAGGATGTTTTCTATTACTAGTAGATAATTGTATTGATATGCAGTGTGGACAGAAGATCAAAATGCATGAAAATTGCATAGAGGCATTTTGATTCTGTTCACCCAGTATTGTGCAGCATTTATGAACTATTAATGTAATTTTAAGCACCATACTGAGTTTCCCCTCTCCCGGGAAAAAAAATGTGGTGTCGTGTAGTTGATAGCTTTTTCCAAGACAATTTTACATACAAAAGAATGATGTATCTTTATGAAATTGCACTCCAAAAATAAGGAATTTTTTTTGTTCTTCAGCATGCCAGTATATGGCCGCCTGCTGGAAAAGCAAGAAAACAGTCTATAACTAAAAGTCCAAAGATTGGAGGTTTACAACTAATTCCCATTCAACAGGAGAAGAACACTTGTAAAATCAGAGGGAGTACAGAAGTAAGTAGGGTTTAATCTTGGTGTGGAAGTTCTAATGACAATGCTGTACATCTAAATAGTCTAGTAATAATGACCTCTTTAGAACTGAATAAATGCAAAATGTAGGTGCTCTTACTGTCAAAATCCTTTTCATTCATTGTATAACCATTAAAAGATTACTTAAGACAATCTAATGTAACAACAAAACCATCCTATTTTGACCTAATCTTGTGTCAGCGATTTGGCTGTTCAATAAATCAATAATGGATTTTATTTGTATATTTGTTGAGCAAGGTTTGCTCACTGGAAATAAACAGGACCACTGTACATTACAGTTTTATTTCAATGATGTCCTTGAAAGCTTTTGAGCATACGTATTCTGTCATACTTTTTCTGCTCTCCACAGTATCTGTTAGGGATTAGTTATATGCTCAGTGAACGTAATGGGAAATCTCAACTGGAACTAACTATAAAACTTTTTAAGTTGTAATATTTTTGCTCTCAAAGAACAGGGTCAGAGTTTAATTACAGCTGTTTATGGAGACTGACTTCAGTGTCTCTACAATATATGCACTAATGGTATGTTTCAACATTATCATACAAGCTTAAGATGAATTTCTGGCTTCCACGTAGAGATACTGGTGCTTCTGGGAATACTTTTGTGCCTTATTTTCGGCTGGAAAGATGCACTGGTTGTGGAGTCACTGATTTGCTTGGGGAAAATAGTGGTAAATAATCGGAAAGCTAAAGAGAAGACATGCAGGAAAACAGTTTGGACCTTAGACTGTATGCAGTATAATTTCTTGTATGTCTAAGAAGATTTTGAAAGACGAAAATATGGAATATGTTATTGTCCTTTAGAGACAGCGTTTCAGGCAGAAATCATTGGAGTTGACTCAGTTCCATAACAAACCAAAAGAAAAGATAAAAGTGGTGCTTTACTAACAAGCACCTTCTTTTTCTTTTTTTTGGTCTCCTTTTGTTACACGTTTTTAAAATGCATTTCTGTTCTTTTTTAACAAGGATTATAATACAGTGTGAATGCAGTTACTGTTTTTCTCTCTTGCTTAAGTAGTCCTTTCATTTTAGCTTTTCTCAGGAAAATACTTTTTGAAGCTCCTTTTAATATTTGCATTTTTAAGCATTTTTAAAAATTTGTAAATGAAAGGAAAATACAAGTCTTGTCATTCAAAAAGCTCTGTAACCCTTAGGTGTATTTTTAATTCTTGTATTTTTGATTCTGGATGTATGATGGCTGCTCTAAAAGTAATGCTTTCTATTTATTATGTTGGCCCCCGATGTCAGAAGCAGATGTTTGTGGTATGACAGTAAAGACTGAACCTTCCCACCAATATTCTGTTAAATTTTGCTGCCGTGGGACAGATGGAGGCAGAGAGGCAGTGTGACAGAATGACGTTTGACATGGAAGTGCTTATGAAGCAGAGGTGTGTCATTGAGTTGGAAAAAAATTGCACCCACTGACATTCATCAATGCGTGCTAAACAAAAGCAAACAAAGGACATGAATGCTGTGAGGTGATGGGTGGTGCATTTCAGCAGTGGAGATAGTGACAGTGGGTCACCTCCACTGGTGCAGATTTGTCGGAATGCAGCATGCAGGCTCTTGTTCATTGTTGGTGAAAAAGCTAATGATGGTTACTAGGTTAAAATAATATTTTGTAGCTGAGAATGTTATCTATCAAATAGTATTATTATGTTCTTAATATCTGTTATAGTTTATACAGAAATAAATAGGAGGCATTACTTTCGGAGTAACCAGATTTTTGATCTGTTCTTTGAGACAACTTCCACCCTAGAAGGCTGGAATCTGTAGTTTTCTTGGACTTTGAGCTTCAATGTTTTAAATCCTCAATATCTTACAATAACAGAAAGACTTTTTTTTTTGATTGTTGGTGTGCCTTGTTAACAAGAACTGCCGTATTTTGTACCCTGCAACTCAGAAAACATTTCTGTTTGATCTTGAAAGTACAAGATCTCAGTCTCTATCTATGACTATATATTGACACATTTTATACAGGCATTATTTGTATATTTGAAGAAGAGCAACACCAAGTTAGATAATGGAAAATAAAAATATAGCACTTTATTTATTTATATATTTATTTATTTATTACATGAATGTCAAAATCAAAATGAACTGATATGGCTGACTGGTAGAAAATGAGTATTTCATATGAGTGATTATAGGGTAATACAGCACAGCAGTGTAGTTTGTTAGCAGATACATTTCTATTTGTAGACCACAACTTCATTATTCCCCCAGATTTGTAGTTCTTCTCCAATAAACAAAAATACCTTATTTTAAAATGTTAGGGACTTATGACAGAATAAAGCATTTTCTGAAAGGCACTGGTTTATGAAAAATGGAGGTGTGCTTTACAGAACAGTGTGAAAACTTACAGTAGAAATGTGATCTAATTTGTCTTATAGGCAGGAGAAGAGACTGGAAGTTCTCCAGATGGTTAAAAAAGAGTCATCATTTTGCACTCTAAAAATGGATGGGGAAAAAAAAATGAATTATCCAAAGCCAAGAAGATTAAAATGTACATTCTGGTGCTAAAAATGCTGTATAAATGTATTTTTTAAAATATATTTATTAAATATCAATAAATTGATATTTATTGAAAGTAATTTTCCTGTTTGCTAGCAATAATTTTCCTGTTTGCTAAAAATATATTACAAAATATCTGAAAACACTTTTATAGCTAAAAATTCTCCTAAGGACAATTAGAATCAGAAAAATTCTACTAATAATTCTACAGCACTAATAAATGGGAACTAAGGTTCTTGTATATAGTGCCTATATGGTACTTTAAAAGTCTGCATTAATAATAAAACCTGCCAACATACATGACTTATTTCAGAAAAGTAGGCATCTGTTATTTTTGAGCTGTATTTGATCTGTTCAAAATTACATTATACAAAGCTATTTTGGTAAATAAGTTTATTTTGTTTGTTTATTTCTTGTGTTGTTTTCTTATTGGGGGGGCGGGAGGGGGGCGGTTTCTGCTATGCCTGTGGCAATTTATTATACTTTCAGAAGTATAGTCAGTATTCTTCTCAGAAGAAGCAAAATTATAATATGACGTAAAAAATCTTTAAGCAGAAGATTATTGATCCTGATTTATACTTCATATCTTAGTTTATTGAATAACAATAGGCGGCTTGGATTTGTTACTGTTTTCTGAAAGGTGGTGCATAACTGGTATTTCACATGTTCTACATTTCAAATATATATACAATCAGATATTAATTCTGTTATTGATTTATTAATTGAAATTGAATGACTGACTGATTTTAATCTTTAAAAAAAAAAATTTAAGTAGAAAATAACTTTTTCAGATATTTCCCAGAACAGAACTCCCTGCATATGTGAGTCACTGGGATAGTTTATCAGGTGCCTGGAATTTTTTTCACTGAAAATTGATGAATATATTAAACATATTCCTCGCAGGCCTAGATGGTAGCAGGTGATTTGTAATTGATAGAGGTTGTTACTTATGTTATTAAAATTTTCAGTCACTAAAGATGTGCCTGATAGCATGCACTTATGGTAATTTGTAGCACTGTGAACTCACATGCATCATTGTTCTGGGGTACATATGCATATTTATTTTTTGCACGGCTAGGTCACCAATGTCTTGTTATTAGTGGGTAATTTTCATTCTTTCGGAATGCAATTAAAAAATACTATCCTCCATAACTGTAAAAATGATGTGAAAAAAAACCAACCTACATTTTTGTCTGCTTTTTAGAAACTGTTTTATATCATCAAAGTATTTGTTTTGTTTATTACTGAATAGATGCTAGTTCCGATGCACAGATGTAGACTTCACTGTATAGCTTACATCTCTATAACCTAAGCATTTAATATTTATTATTTTCCTTCTTACACTTCTCCTAATTTTCTGTATCAACATTCATACTCTGTCATCAGGAAGAAATAAACATGACTTTAAAACAAAAGTAAATGATAGAGGAATGTACTGTAGGCAGATTGTTCCATTTCTGGAAAAGCCTTACAGCTGTACAGGAAAATGAGGTTTTGGAATTCATTTTCTTTCATGTATGACATCTTTGACTACTAAAAGACACTCAAGGCTGAGAGGGACTTTCTTTGTATTTGTTGTATAGCAGTCATTCTGTTTAGCTGGATCTTTTTCGAGTTGTTCGCATTTCGTGCATGAGCAAACTGTCTTAGGAATCTTGGTACCTTATCTGTTAAAACAGCCATGAAAAAATATTCAGTTCTAGAAGGAAGATAGTTTAGATACATCTACATGAGTATCTGAGTTAGGATCAGGAGTGCACTTGGGAGCAAATCCTGCTGTGTTGTTGTTCCCATTTACTGTATTTTGCTTTGAGTTGCTTCAAACATTTCTTTGATGATGAAACTGAAAGAGGGTAAATGTAGGTTAGATGTTAGGAAGAAATTCTCACTCAGAGAGCAGTGAGGTGCTGCAATGGTTTGTCCAGAGAAGTTTTGGATGCCCCATGCCTGGGGACATTCAAGGCCAAATTAGATGGGGCTTTGGCAGCCTGACAGTGGGTGGCAACCCTACTCATGTGGGGGGTTGAAACTGGGTCATCTTTAAGGTCCTTTACAACACAAGCCATTCTATGATTCTGTTAGTCTACAATTCAATGAATAGTAGAGTGATTCTGGAGCCTGTGAAATTGGACTGCTTTCAGGCAAAATTAGAGCAGGCATTCTGCAAGAGCATATTTAGTGCACAAAGTTGACCCTCTGACAGAACAAGAAAACTGAAGTTCATATGAAGCTTTGAAGTGTAAATATCACGTTCAGAGCTCTCTTACTGTACAAATGTGCTCCTAAATGCCCACAATGTTTGCAGATTTAGCCATGGCATGTAATTTCCCTCTCATTTCTTGCAACTTAAGAACTGAATGCAACCCACCAATATAAAACAGCCATATTGCCATCAGTTTGAGTTACCAGTATGTTACTTAAAATTGCTAGTCAAAATAAAAATAAAAAAAGCAGTCTTAGTAATTTTGCAAGTACTACTGAACAGTTACTGAAAATGTTTGTGCATTTGTATGTTTATGTAATGTAAATGTTTATGCAAAACTATATTTTGTGCATTCACTTACTGTAGGCATTATTAAAATTGCAACATTTTCAATAAGAGTTTTGAGAAATTAAGAGTATATGAATCTGCTGAAAAAAAATTAATTTGCTGTGGTAGAGCGTAAAATCAAATTGTAAATACATGAAAATACATGAAAATGAATGTCTTCAATTCATTGTCATGGGCATTTTGCTGGAAGATTAATGTAATTTTTAGAAGTAACTCTAGTTGAGGAAATATGCTCACCAAAAAATGCTTATAAATGATAACAGAAATTATGGAAATTTAGAATTATTAAGTATGCTATCTCAGCTCTTTAGTAAAATTGATTCTTCTTTAAAATGTTATGCGAAATCACAGAGCAGAAATTGTAATATAAACATTATTGATTATAGTGTTAATGTGAATGATCTTATTTATCTTTATTTGTTCACTCAGGATATACAGTTGAAACTGAGGAAACCAAAACTTGATGAACATAATGAAATTGACCCAGTGGAAGAAAGAAAAAACTTGAAAGAAAAAGCATCTATTGTGGCACAGTGTTTAGAACGCAAGGAGGAGAGAGTGCGAAATCATGCCAAAACACGTCAGAGTTTTATCTGTGCTGAGGAGATGGGTGTGGGAATGGCTGACCTGTGCCATAGATCGCATAAACCACCAAAAAAAACCAAGAACAAAACAAACAAAAATACGATGGAATTAGATAACAAACTGCCATCAAATTTGATTCAGGAATTAAATACAGTGCTGCAGAAAAACAGAACACTTCATGATGATACATCCAGCTGATGTCCTGAGTCTGAAGTTTAGAATATATATTTTCTGGACAAAATTATGTGGCTTTTTTAGCGTGTATAGTTTGTACAGCGCAGAGAAAACTTGTTTATATACTACTGTTGATTTTGTGAGTAAGCCATGGTACAATTTAAGATTGAACTGAGCTGATTTTGCAAAAGTTCTGAAATTTGTTTTGCTGTGTGATACATTGGAACCTGGGTTTTCTCTGCCATTTTTTTTGTTGTTATTGCATATTTTGTTAGATGGAAGAATTGTAAGCACTATCAAAAGCTCTTGCTCTGTTTATATTCTGTACCATCCTGTAAGTAGTGGTGGGAGATTTTAGAATGAAGACAAGATGTACACTGAAATTCATGCTGTTAACCTACAATATTTTATTTAACACTATAAAAATGAGTAACATCTGCTTAAGTGTGATTTTTTTTTTTTTTGCATATAAATTTTTTTATTTAAGAATGTCATGAGTCTTATTCCATAAATTTGTCCTCAGAGCAACATGAAATGAATTAAAATGGAGAGGGGTACAATAGATAAGGCAATGCGTTAGTTCAATGAATTTGCATCTCTAAACTGTGTCTATATTGTGTACATCTGACTATGATATTTTTTAGAATTACTTATGTTGTTACTGCATTTCATCCCATATAGGATCAATTTATCCTCTCTCCTCATTCTGGTAATTACAGGTGCCATAACATTTCTCACATCAGTTATTTCTATTCTTGATTGCATTGAGGAACTTAATTGAAAAAATAATTTGTTTGAAGAAATTAGACAAATTATTCAATGTATCTGGTAAATCTGTTAGTAAGTAGAGCAGAAGTGAGATTAAAGTCAAATGTTATATAGTGTTTTTTATTTATTCTTCTGGCACATAGCACTGAGAAAGCAAGTTTTGTTTTTCAGACTTTGCACTTATCACATTTAACCAGTTGTTAAATCTGAAATGAGATTGTACATTTTAATTTTCGCAGTGCACTATTGACTGTTTTGCTACTTTTAATTCGTAGTTGAGCCTCTTGTAATCATTGAAGCTCTGGCTTAAGAAAACATATAAGCCAGAACTTAAATTGTATTGACTAAAGCCTGTGCTTAATGTTAATAAGCACATTCCTAAATGCCAAACTGAATCAGGGCCTGCTGCTGCTGGGGGAGAGTTACTTTGCTTTCTGTCTGAGGCTGGACCTGAATGTACTGTTTACAGTTGTATTTTTACTTGCAAATATTTTTCAGTATTGAGTTATGGTTTCTGTATTGTTTATCTTTCTACTGAGTTCTTAAAAATGACATTCACCTCACTGCTGAAAGCCTCATGCATCATTTAAGCCCTACACTAATGGAATAAATGGAGCAATAGAAGGATTTTGTGCACTGGAGTGAAGAAGTCTGTGAAGAGAATGTTTTGTTTATTTTTATTGGATCTGAGGACTACAGAAACATTTGTTCTACTTCAAAAGCAGACCTCAAATAAAGTATCTGTAGGGCTACTATTAAAGGGACCTAAAAATCAAGAAGAAAATATGTTTACTAAAATATATTTAAGTGTTTACTTTTCAGTTACAGCTATACTATCTTTAAAGCTGTCAAATCCTCAGTGAAAACGTGGTTTCAGTAGCTACTATAAATATTTTGTTTTGTATATGTATATGTACGTGCATTCTCACTATATATGTATAATTTTGCATAGAGTTAGGTGCATATCTGCAGAGGCATACTGAATGTTGACGTCGCTAACCTGAGGAAAGTTCTTTTGGGAAAGTAGATATTAAATTTTCAGTTGGGTTATTTCAAATGCAAAAAAAAATTTTGCACCAATTTCCTGACATATAATTCTTGCACTACGCGTTTCAGACTGCTTTAAGACCTGCAAGAATAAATGTTTTCTTGCAATACCTTGGTAGCTGCTGATGCTTTATTGTTCTTCTGACTTGTGGAATGATAGTGTAATTTTCAGGGAATGAATGCTAATTATTTGAATAAATACTGTTTCTTTAAAATAAATGATGGATTTATTTTCAAAAAAAAAAAAAAAATTCTGTACCCACTGCATAGCCTAGTGAGTATTTATTGTCTGATGTGCAAAATGAGGTTAAATGAGGCACTGACATTGTTCATTCTGTGACAGTAGGAAGGCTAGAATTAAAGTCTCAGTAACTCTCAAGTTCATCATTACTTTGGCATTATAAGTGAAAAGCTGATAGGTAAGCAAGATGTGTATTTAGTTTGAAAATCACTTACAATTTCGGATTTTTTTTTTTTTAAATTTTTTTTTTTTTTTTACAGATCTATTCCAGACAGAAGTTTTTCCAGGTATTATTTTGGGTTTACAGTTCAAAAGAGAATTTTCAGTTAGTTTTGTGCATCAGCAGAGATCCCTTTAGTGTGGGCTCAAATTGACTAGCTGAAACTTAAAGATAAATTGTGTACTTCCCCCTTCTTTAGTTAAAGGGAGGGTTTGGCCATATTGTTTGTTTCTTGTCTTCGTTTTATTTCTTTATTATTAAGAGTTCTGGGCTGCTGTGACTGAAGTGTGTTGCAGGGATTCCATTGACTTGTGTCTTCCATGCAACAGCACCCCTGGCGTCCCTTCCACTAGTGCATGTATTGTTTTGGCTACCCCGCAGATATAGGTTCTTCAGAGAATAAAAGTTGCCAGTGTTTTACCTCACTTCTGGGACTCTTCTTTCCCCTGATATAGTGGTTGGCACAATTCATGTTCCTCAGTGCTGCCAAGTTACCACCAGTCCCACATATCAAGTTCCAGATTAAGGAATTGGGAGGAAAAAACCTTCACTGTTCTGTTGTGGATGGTGGTGGTGTCAACTGGAGTCTGGAGGTAAGGATTACATACATCACTGGCTGAGGTGCTGCCTTGTGAGCCTGCATTGTCATGTCACCTTTCTGATTTTTATATCCTGTTTTCCTATGCAAGCTGTTTCAGTGTAAAAATCAGTTTAACTGTTGCTGACAGCTGAATTAGAAGAAGTTTGGTTGTGCTTGAGTCCCAATGGAAACTGAATTAAAAAAAAACTCAAGTACTGACTGTGATCACAGCATGCTCTAAAAATTACATTGGATTTAGGCAAATTATGGCAAATCTGTGATTTCAGTAAATTGCATTGAAAAACCTGAACAGGGTGTGTGTCTGAGGGAGAAGCAGATTACTTTGGTAGATGGGTGGATGAAATGTATTCCAAGTTGAATTGCTTAGAAAAAAATATATACTGATTAATAAAATGAAGTCTACTGCAGAAAGATGAAATAAGGAGAATCAGAATGCTTAAATATGATTTGGTCAGTATTCCTTGTTCTGAATCATTAGAAATAAATATTCTCTGTACTTTTGTATGTCAAAAAAAAAAAAAACCCAAATCTTTACCATATTCAGTGTTTCTTGAATCTAGATTGTTCTCTAAGAACTGAATGGGGAGAACTGAACTGGGGGGGGGAAGGGAGTAGAGGGAGCGTAGAGTGGAAGCTTTCCAAAGTTTTCTTCATGGTTCACATGATTTTTGCATGTCCTTCTTTCCTTGCAATTCCACTGCACATGGATTTCATCTACAGCTTATTTAATAAAAACAATCCTGCTATTTTAGTCCTTACAATTGCATGGTGTAGCAGAAATGGGCTTGAAGCAGTGATTGAGCAGCTGGTGGGAAGGCAGGACCAACTCAGGGGAGCTCAGGTGCATGCAATGCACCTGTGGAGCATTTTAACAATGAAGCCAGGAGCCACCCCTTCCCAGACCTCATTTAAGGGTTGACAGTGGAGGCAAGGGTATTTCTATGGGAATCCCTGCCTACCTGTGGCGTTCCAAAGGTAAGCGAATTTTCTACCTTTGCTTTTGCATCTACAGCTACTGTATTTGGGCTTGTCTTCATTTGCTGAGGCCGTAGATTTTGCCACCCTGCTATTATTACTGTATTTTCCATCACATTGTATCATTACGTACGGTTAAATATATGATTACTTCTTTGATAACATTTATGTTAAGTTTGCTACTTGTTTATACTAGAAAATCATTGCAATTTCTGACACTGAAGAGGAATAGGGATGTAGACTGCAGATATTCATGTCATTTTTAGGAGGCAAGTGTCCATTTATTTTATTTCACTTGAGTTCTGATGACTTAGGGAGCTTTAGTACTTGCTTAGCCCATCTGATTTTGTGTGCTTCATGTTTTTGATCCTATTTTGTATTGTTGACTATGAGGCATCCTGATCTTTAGGTTGGCATCAGCACATGCTCCCATTCTGCTTCTTTACATGGTGTGTTCTTGATTTGCTGTTTTAATTTATAACTCAAACTTTAGCCATGTTTTCTTTTAGATCTCGTAGTGTCTTAGGCTGTTGTTTCTGACTTGATTTGCAGATGTCTGTTACAGTCAAACTCACTTGATTAAGCTTGCTTTAACATTCATTGTATGTCCTGGTAGAGATCTTCTCAGATTTTTCTTATGGAGACAGGGATTTCACTGAACTGAGCAAGAAAGGAACAGGTTAAATTTGCACGTATAAGTGTTACGTATAGGCATATGGTTCTGTAACCCATTTCTGTGAAGGCCCCTGAAATTTTGCATATTTACATTTATAGTCTACAGCAAATCAGAAAACAATCAAAAGTAAATGCACTCTATTTGCCTTTTAAAGTTATTTTACTTCAGTGACTTAATGATTCTATAATATGTATTGTGCCTTGTAATAAGAAAATGCAATTTCTTGCAAATTATACCTTTGGTTACATAAACAGGAAAGCTTTTTCTTTCAGAACTTAATTAGCATTGGCTTGTCCAGTACGGCAGAATATTTAAGAACTAATAGCTCAGGATAAATTGAGGTTTGCTGTATGTATGAGTTTTATAACTTGTCATTTTCTCTGCTATCTACATTTCCAATATGTTCCATTTAAAAGTTAATGTGTTTGTATTTCACTAGTTTTGTTTTATATGTTTATTCAAATTACAGCATGATTGAAATATAATTTCTTCAGACAGGCATTAGCCATTAGCATTTAGCTTTACTGTGCCTTAGCTGTTTACATCTGTGATTGGTGTCCTGCACTTAAATTTGCTTTTGGGTGCATTTATTTATTTGATAACTGTTTATTTGTTCAGCTGCACAGGAACTGTTCAAGCTCATTAGATGATAAATATCACAGATTGCATATACTAGACCTAAGTTCTTCCTAGGTAGAACATGCTTTCAAATGAGATTCCTCACAGGATTTTCTTCCAGGCAAAGCCAGGTTTCATGGGTTATTACACAACTCTCATGTAGGTGAATACCAGTCTTGGCTAGCTTGTTGATTGAAACAACAGTATGCTTTATCCAGTCAACAGCCTTCACGATTTGTTCCTTTTTTGTCACTTTTTAATCCAATATAGAACAGCTTGGGTGGGTGAATCGTTTTTGAAAGTGCTGGTATGAGTTCTGTTCTAAGATCTTTACCACTACTGTACAGAAAAATGAAATCTGTAAAATAAAAAAAAAAAACTCACCATTTTCTTTGAAAGCATTTTTAACTCTTAACAACAAAATAGAAGTGAATTCCAATTCATTGTTTTTTTTTCCTCTGAGCTTTTAAAGAAATCTTAGTAGCTTCAGTTTTCTATGAATTTTAAATATTAGCAACTGAGTTTCATTTAGAAAGTTTATGTTCTGCAGTTTAAATCTCAGTGGAGAGAAGTTACAAACTGTGACATATTTTTAAAGACCTTTTGCCAAAGGCTTGCTTTCCTACAAATTATGTACATCATTACAGTGTTAAGTTCTCATACAAGATGATTGTGCATTTTGAAAATATCAATTGGAAAAAAAATTTCCCACATATGACTGAATTCATTAAAAATACGTATTTAGGATACTACCTTTTGCTACCAGAATTTGTAAAAACAACCTGGCAGAATTCAGCGATGTATTTCTATTGAAAGTCAACAGCTATGAATCTCTCATTCACTTGCAAAACAAAACCTTAATTTGTTATGGCTAATAATGAAGAAGATATCACAGTGGATCTTACATTACTGCAATTCTCTGCCAGTTTATCTCTTGTTGAATCTTTTGTGGCTATCTCCTCTTTCTTGTAACTTCTTTGGTTCAAAAAATAATTATTGTTGTTGTTTAAATTTCCTAATGCATACTGGGCATTATTATCCAAACCTAGGTCTTGCAACTAAAGTTAAATTAACTAAAGTTAACTAACTCTGAGTTGGAGCTCACTTTCCTGTTTCTTTTCGGAGTGACACTTTAAATGGAAAGCATTTATAGCCAACCTCTAGTCAACTGTACGAGGGTATTGGGGTGATTGCCTTTTTTTGGATATTTACTTTAAGCAGAATATTCCTCTTCAGGTGGATTGGAGATTCCATGTAGTTTGGCTTTCTCGACTTTTCAAACCTTGAAATTCATGCAGCCAGAAATTGGATCTGTGTTAGAATCTAGCATGGTATGTAACCAAAACAAAACAAGTTAAAAATGGAAATAGATAAAGTATGTAGTCTGTAGTATCCCGTATTTGTCACCAATCACTAACCTTGATTGATAATGCACTTTGTTACTTTGGTTTTCATCTGAAAATAAATTGAGATGTTTTACAAATAAATGAAGTAATTATTTCATTCGGTGTTCCTTCTCAAATTTTTGGTGTTTTTTGTTTTTGTTTTTTTCTTTTTAAGTAAACATTTTAATAGACAACTGTAGCATTCAATCTTTTCCTGATTGCCCTTTAAGTAAAAGCCATGAGTAGAAATGAAATGTTGCTGTAGATAACTTAATTGACTCTATTGCTTGCTTCCTCACTACCTTTGAAGGTATATTTTTAATTATTTATCAGATAAAGTTTCTGGTCAAACTGTGTTCTCTTGCACTCATGGTCCCATTTTCTTACCACCAATGATGAGGACCTTCTTTAGCTTTGCCTGTTATCAACTGTTTAGAACTGAAAAATGCACAGTAAAAATTAAATGCAAGGCAGACACCTTATCACCTACAGAAGTACACTGT